GTTTCGACATACACTTGAGGATTAGCTTCGCTCCAAATGCGGCAGTTTTATTTGTTGACGTAGCCATTCAACCAGAAGTGCGCTTCATCGCTAAACAAAATTCGCTTATGAAAATCGGGAACAACGGCAATCTCGTTTTGGGCCCATTCGACGAATCCACGCCTAACTTGACGATCGTTTGGCTTCAATTCTTGCAGGAGTTCGATTTTGCAAGCACGTAAACCAAGATCCTTCCGCAAAATCTTCCATAAAGTTGGACACAGATCCAATTCCTGTGCTCGATGGCGGATGGACTCCTCAATGCTACGATCTACAGCAGCAATAGCTTCTTCTGTACGCATCGTACGGCGTCTCTGGGGATGCGAGTTATCAATAAATCAATAAGAGTAAACGTGGTGCGAAAACGTTCCATGGTTAATCGAATTAACTGCTCTGATGGACGATTTTTTCGACAATAAAATGGACGTAGTGCGCGATACGTATTCAGCCCATTCAGCACCATTATTTTCGAAATAAAATTGCACTATTTGCAAGCGATGTTCAGGCGTGAGTCTATTTATGATGAATTGCCAAACCAAACTGAGAATAAATCACTTGACAGCTGTTAAATCGGTCGCCATCTTGAACATTAATGCCAACTTAAAGTTCTATACATCGGAAAAAAAACCATTACAAATAAAATGAGAGCGACAAGGAGAAAGAGAAAATGTAGAATTAGAGATAACAGAGAAAGAAACAAAAGGAAAAAGTATATTATCTACCTATAGTTTTAAATGAAAACCAACATTATTTTCATGACAGTTCTACTTTACCTGCTATTATTTTAGAACCCAAAACCGTTTATCAATTTTTACTGGACTTATGGCTTTGTTTGGTTTTTATGTAAAAGGCTCCAGCAAGAAAAAAAAGGACAAAACAATGCCCCGAACACTTCATATACTTATACGTAAAATTGGTTTTTCTACCACTAAGTGAAGTGTTCTTAAAGTGCCTATGCGTTTCCAATATTGGCACTAGCATGGTCATCTGCTGCTTCGAAGTATCCTCTGGTAAAATCATTTCCTCAGGTTGTGTAACCATGAGCTCTCCGTCTCGAATCCCTCCTTCCCAGCACCTTGCCCTCCAACATAAACTGTAGAAGGCTGTATCAAAGTTCATTGGGCATGATGTGACCCACGTATTTGTTAATGGTAAAAAGTGACTCACTTGACTTTTTCTGTACTCTGTCTGATTTAAATGATCGATAATTGAATGAGTGACCTCACTTGTCGTCATCTAGGAAAACTTCATAATGTATTCGGAATTAATCTTAAAAAGTATACACAGTCTTACAACCCTCTCTATTTTTATTTCGTCCGATAGTTGTTCTCTGATCCTGAAAGCTGCTAACAATATATATTTTTAGTTATTCTGCGGTCTTCGTCATCCAGACCGATCAACTCTCTCCAGAATCCATATCAATTTGTCGCAATTTACTCTGTCGACAGCCTTCTGGTGCGAATGAAATAGTACATTGAACTGAGATTGAATACATATAGTAGACTGTAGGGAACAATGATATTTTTCATTAATTTTTTTAAAAAATCCTTTACTTTTCCTAGTTTCTAACTGTCGTACTGCATTAATTAAATATTAACATAAGCAATTGTTTACTTAGCATTAGTTGTTCGAGTGCCGTGGTCACTTTGCAGAAGCAAATGTGAAAAAACGAATAGACGACTTAAAAAGCAACGAAGTTGTCTCTATTGGACCAGGAATTTAGGTCAGCAGGAAATATCTCCCAGTTATAAATCAGCGCCGGAACAGGGGGGACGAGACTTCGCGTCAGATAAAAACATAATATCGGCTTTTACGGCCCAACGACTAACGAACATATCGACAAGACGCTGCGACAACATCATAATTTTAACGTTCGAAGTAATAATTTAACGACTTTGTGTGGCGGGTCATTAACAAAAACTATGAGCGGTAGGGGTCGGAAGGGAGTGGGGAGGAGGGAGGTCGTGGTTAGTTTATCAGCGGCACTTACGTAAAGTGCTTCGAATTTTCTCCAGAGAAATCAATTATTCAGTTTTCCCCATCTGCGGCTTCCGCGAACAAGTCACCGCAAGAAAAAGGGAATAAAGCAAGGTTTCGCTTATTATCGACCCCTTCGCCGTTCCGCTCGAGAAAATTCATGTTTTTGTTGTTTAAAATATTCCGATTCGCCTTTTCGCCGAAATATATTTTTTTCGATCCCACCGCTTTTCGTAAATTAAACTGGCTAAAACCGTTTTACCCCACTCACTGGTGCAGTTACACGATTTTCAGAACGTCTTAATGTAGAACATTAAGAAGTTATCTCTCTCTATTTCTGCCTTGAAAAGCCGTTCGTCGATCTTTTGTACCTACGAATCATCCAACCATTATGAAGCAACGAAACTGGAAATAGTTAAAACGTAAAACCAAACATCTGTCGATACTGAATCCGATTGTAAAACAGAGTCAGCACGCCGACCTGACGAAGACACACTCTCAATCTTCACGATCCCGTACGTAAAGGGTACTTGCAAAAAGATCAGACAAATGGCTCCTGCTAAGATTTTTGAAAAAATTATTTAATAATTTAATTTAACAAACACAGCATATTAAGACCATTTGACTTCCTCTCAGCCTACCAGCAGTTGTGACTTTTTTAGACTAGACAAATGTCTTTGATACAGTCGATCGTGTTATACTAGCGTCCAAATTGCAGAATGTGGCAATAAGGGATGCAAGTTTGACTTTCATAGGAAAATATCTGAAAGATTGATGCCAGGTTGCAAGGGTAAATGAATGGTATTAAAAGTCAGCAAGTTAAAACAAATGTTGGAATGCCTCAGTAGCATATGCGGATGATACTGCGATACCAATGAATGCAAAATCATGGCCCGAACTTTCAACAGTCATGTCATCAACTCTGGATATTATATCAAGTAATAACTTATGACTCTAATATAAAATGGGATGTTCGCGTGGCTAAAACAGTAAAAATAACAAATACTTAGTATATGTTTTTATAGACTCAATGGAATACCAACAAGAAAGCAGTAATTACAAATTTATTATGGTCTTTTCCATAGTGTTGCATCGGCAACGGCTTCAGAAGCGTATTCTTAAAATTAGTGCAGGAACAAGATGCAAATAGACCACTGAGTATTAAACAAGCGTATGTAGTGAATTCAATAGTGTATAAATATAATGAATTAAAAAATGAATATATACAAAATCAAATTAACACTCGTAATAATATATTATTATTATATTATATTATTATATATATTATTATTATTATTATTATTATCTGCCCGTAACGCTGTTTGATTCAGTCAAGCAAAGGCAATGGAAGTTCGCAGTTATTTCAGTTTCATTCCCGAAGCATTGTCTCCAACATTCAGAACAACCTGTTTCCGCTGATATAATGAAAAACGCAGTAAGCCTAAATCCTGGTTTAAAGAAAACAACCTCAAGGTGTACCTGACCTTGGTTTTTTGTAAATGTTATTGTAATAGTTAATAATAATAAACATACTTATTAAATATATTTGGCAATAGTAAAAGTTTAAAAAGCTTAAATTTTTTACCAAAATTCATCAAAAAGTTTTACAAGTTTAATAATAATTGAAATGATATTTAATAGTTAATATATTTAAATTAATATTAAAATATACTGAGCTAACAATTAAAAATTAAGCAGATTTATACAAAAGTTGAGATTTTGGCAAGCAGAAGATGCTTCAACGTTTCTAATGTTTAATTTCATTTTTTTTTGTTTTTTATATTTATGCTTCCCTAGTCCGGAGGCACATGTTCCTATGTATAGTTCTTAATAACTTAATAAATAAGAACTAAAGTTCAGATTTTCATGAAATTATATATTTTCACATGACAATTGTTAAAATAGAGACACGGTGTTGTCGAAACAATTGACATGTGAAAATATATAATTTCGTAAAAATCTCAACTTTTAGTTATTATTTATTTTGTTAAATGGATTTTCATCACGTAAAAGTCACCCCAGTTCAATTACACTTACTTAATTTTAAAGAAAAACAAATTTGCCATTTTATACAAGTTTTCCGACGTTCATTGGTTTACCTTGACAGGAACGTCTGAAGGTATATAACCACTGCACATTTGTCAGGGATACATTGGTTTTTCTTGACTCTCGCTATTACTCAACGACATTAAAGTTATCTTTGGTGCTTTGGCATAAAGGAAAACCAAAAATTTTTGGTTTTCGATGTGATTTTCCTAAGATCTTATATTCATTAGAACTTATTTAACTTTAGGCGTAAATTTTTAGACAACATTTAATATTCGTAACTCCTTTTCCACAAACAAGTACTCATAAATCCTGGTCCTTCGGGTCGGCACAGAAATGGAATGACACGCAAACGTAATAAGTATACAACAAACATGTTGTGTCCTTTTTAATTATTATTATTTAATTAATTATTATTATGATTTAAATAATAACAATTAATTAATTAATAATTAAAATTATTAATTATTTATTTAAAATTTAGCAATTTCCCTTGTAGCGCCAAGAATCTGAAACTAATCAAAACATTATATTGAAATTTCACTTTATTTTGGAACATTTATGAGTTATTTTAAATCATTTTTTCGGAATTTCTCATAAATTTTGCATACATAGTGTTGAATTTGAATTAATTTTTGTATATAACATTTTCAGATATTGAATTGAATTAATCGAAGTTACCAAGTTATAAAGACGTTGTCTCTAGCGTTTGTGTACTGCAACTTATAATACAGAAATGTAGAGAAAATGAAATTTTCGTTTTTTAATTAGTTAAAAAAAACTTATAATGATTTAAAACCGGAATATTTCGATACTGCTGGTAAATTTCGGAATATTAACGAACTAAATAACTAAAAAAAAACGAAATATTATCCGGTTGGTACAATTTGATGAGGCTTAGTTTTGGTTACTTATCATTTCAGTCAGCCTAAACTCACCTGAAATCCAGAGGCGCCCACCGACGAGCCGGATCCGGAAGGGTGCAGATGCGACGCACTGGTAGAACCATAGTTAAGATTATAGGAAGTGTCCAGAATTTTCTTGTGCGCGGACGCGTGTGCGCGATAGGCCGATACGCTGAGCTTCATTTTTTGCGTATCTTTGACATCGCTACACACTCTCGATCTCGATCGCGATCGACACGCGTGAAGAACGGTCCTTTAAGATGGCCGACCGCACGCGATTCAACAAAAACCGTTTTAATTTTCGAAATGCGTTCAATACTACCAAGATATCGAGCAGTTATTATTTGTTGAAATTATAACAGCTTTTTTTCTAACTAAAAATTAACTCTACGCACACTTTCGTTTGGTAAAATTGGCACATGTTTGGCACTAATTTCGGTACTCGCGCACCCGGTTCGGCATCTGAAATCACAAAAACACCATTTTAGCAAAACAATGGCTGTGGTGTTCGGTTCGGTTGTGAACATTTGCATCAAATCCAAACGCGAGGAAGCTGCGCCGTGTATCGACGGGGACTGAATTTTAAAAATATCGCATCTCCGCGTCCTAGCGAAGTGTTTATTGCACCCCGCAGCTAACTCCGTGTGCGAATTTCAAATCGGAAGTTCGTTTTTCCGCGGGTAGCAATAAAAACGGAATCCGAGCTGCTTAATTTTAATCTCGCGCTGCGACGGACTAAAGTAATTCGGAGAAAACTGAGTGGGGTGGGTTTATTTCGGAGCAGATTTGGAACAATGAACTAACTAGGATGAAAACGACCTCGTTAAATCGAATTCAACAGTTCTACATCCACTTTAGGCGCTTTCTTTATCGCTTCCTAACACCTAGTTACTATCGCGAACGAATAAAATTCATAGTTGCGAAAGTATTCCCACGAAACTGTAGATCGGGTGATATAGAATCAGATCACTATCTGTTGCTAGCAAAATTAAATGTACGAGGTGTGTTTAAAATAGAAGGAGACTTTTAAGTTTTGCCAAAAGTATTTATTTATTCATCAAAATTAATGTTATCCCCTTTAAAGTAATCCCCCCCCCCCCCGCCACAGATTTAATACAGTTGTGCTGTTTCTTCCAATCCTCGAAGCACTTCTGGTATAGCTTTGAGTTCGTTCAGCGATTTTTTCTTTATCTCCTCAATCGTTCCAAACCCCCTTCCTTTCATGGGTTTCTTGAGTTTTGGGAACAGGAAAAAGTGAAGAAATACCAAAGTCGAATATAAAACCGAAACACCAAAATAGATGTAAATGGCTCAGCAGAAAGGCTTTTCCCAAAAATTGAACTGAAACGGCTTTTACTTGATGAAAATCCATTTATCAAAATAAATAAGAACCAAAAGTTCAGATTTTCACGAAATTTCGACAACACCCTGTCTTTATCAAATCGCATTTGATAAAGACACGGTGTTATCGAAACAAATGTCATGTCAAAATATATAATTTAGTGAAAATCTGAACTTTAGTTCTTATTTATTTTGAGAAATGCTTTTTCTACGTTTTACAAAGAGTTTCCTATGGACTGGAAGACTAGTATTAATATAAAGATCTTCAAAACCTGTAGTCACTAAAGAGGAATAACTTTAAATATTACAGTAAATAAAGTATTCTATAGGATAATAGTTCACAGAATTTTCAACGGATTAAGAAACACTAAGAATCGTGTAATCACTTCACACCTCTACAATTGTTATTCCTAGACGAAAAAGCTTTTGGCTCCATCGACAGGAAGGATTATTTGATTAATATCAGAGGACCACCCAAAGAAATTGCAAACCTAATTGAAGAAGCGGTTTTCTTGCTTGGTCCGGCATGAAAGCAAGCTATCACAATAAATTGAGGTTTTAAAAATACGGTGAACTGAAAAGGTGTAGTAGAATGAAACAGTAGAAGATTAGATAAAGAAGGGATCAAAGTATAACTGAAGATAAAGGGTGGAAAAACAAAACCAATGTATCTTAATACAGAATAACCCTAAGTAATAACAGACAACAGAAGAACAAATTGAAAGGGCGAAGAATTACGACTATTCAGGTAGTGATATTGCGAAGAAGGATGAAAGATATTTGAAAAGAAATGATAAAGCAAGAAATGCATTCCTCTCATTGAGCAAAATATAACCAACAAACCGAAGAATCTGGTTGCCTAAAGCAACTAACCAATGAAGAACTTTAGCAGCGAGAAGGTGAATCGAAGACAGGTGATCAAATAAAGAGAAAATTCGGTTGGGTGAGTGGCACATTCACACAGAAGAAATTTCGAGAAGAGCACTGGCTTATTATTCAATGAAATAGGGTACACGGCAAGAACCAGAAACATTTCGTCATCCACTCTATCCCCAACAGGGAATAAATATATTTATATACGATGTTGATAACCAGTGCTCTATACCCTGTTATCGAAGTTTCTGTGTCCAAGTTGAAATTTTAGTAGCATAAATCGTTATCCAACAAAAATACTAGTAAGATCTGAAGCTAAAGTTGTTAAAGATTCACGAAAATAGATTCTTTTTATCCTGGAAACAAGTACAGCTCTTGAAGAAGCTTCGCGTCAAGTCGGAACAAATGTCGGATATTCATTCATGTACCACAAAGATGAATGTAAATTTTTAACACGAACAGAGAATGGAGTGGCAGCCTTTATTATCAACGAAATAATCCTGCAATAATAAGTTCCTGACAAATTTGCCACAAGACATGATACCTGATGGTAGGAACTAGAGTTGAAGACAATAGTTTTATTAATTAGTTAATATTGAACGCCTTTATTGAAGAAACTAGAATTGAAATTGTAAAATTGAGTTACTTTTTATTATGCTTTATTCTCTGATGAATTAATAAAATGAATGGCCAGTTTAACAAATTTTCTTTTTGCCTTTCCCTTTCATAATTCTTCAAAATTGCCTAAAGCGTAGATCAGAGGGATCAGAGAGTTTATTTTGAAAGTCCCATCGCAGTGCGAAAAAGTGTGATAACGAAGTGGCCTCGCAAGGCAAACTTCTTCATGGAGTGGCAAAGATTAAAAGCGCTCTTATCAATTTTATCGAAACAAAACTAAAAGTAAAAAAAAAAGCACTTTATGCCCAATGTAATCTCTTTGCTTCCGTTATCGAATTTAGAAACCTTTCACACCTTCCTTGCATTAATTGCGCTCTGTATGCGGGCGGTTAACTTAAAATTCCCGGAAGTTTTAAACAGAAACTCGCCCGATATGATCGCAAATATCGCGTTTAGCTTACCGACCGGTAAAGTTAATTTGTAATCATACTGGACAACGTATTGCGATCTAATAGGACGATTACTAAATTGAAAAATGCACTTTTAAATTCTTTATTAAACATTGCTCAAGACTGACGTGAAATTACTTACGCAGTATAAACAATCCCCGACATACGCAAAAAACGATCGTTATATGTCTACGCGCGAACGGATTTTTTTTTGGCACACCCGATATATACAGAATCCTGAAATGTGAAACGTGACACTGGACTAGGCGGGCCGATACTCCGACTCGCGTTCACTGAAAACCCGCTACTGACGCCGACGAAATTTTCTATCCGTCGGAAGTTCGCAATGCGAAATTTCGACGGGAATGTAGAAGGTTAACGCTACCGTTAGTGCCATCTAGCGTTGAAAGCGGAAAATACATCAAAGGTCGTTATAACAGTTTTCCCTCTAGTTTTTATTCCGACCACATTTTCAAAAAATGTCCGGACCAAGTTTGTTACTCGGTATTTCCAAAGCACCGTCCATTCTATGTGACGTAATCAAAACTAAAATTGTTTGCGATAATATAGATATATCGCTTTTGTAGCGCAAGTAATTTTTTACTTTATCATACATATATACAGATACAGATACAAAGAAAAAGACGGCAGGTCATGTGAAACCTAACAAGAAACATTCAGATAGATCATTCAAAATCTTTGATCACAACACCAATCCGCAATTGGAGGAAAGATTCATTGTTTTCGTTTAAAAAAAATACCCACATACAAACGTCGGGAACAGCTATGGGTTCTCCATTATCACCAGTCATCGGGTATATATTTATGGGTGTCTTTGTTATTTGGTTTCATGGTCAAGCATCCGTAATAGATTTTTTTTAAACATTTAATTTCTATACACCCTAACATACGTTTTACCAATGAATTATAAACTAATAATAACCTCCCATTCTGATCAATAGAAAATCAGACCTAACATTAGGTCATTGTATTTACAGAAAACCTACGCATACAGACCTATACCTAAATGCATTGTCACATCACTATCCGGCCTAAAAAATTATCGGTTATCAACTGTCTTGTTTATAGAGCCGTAAAACTATCTCAGCCCGAGTCACCGAACCCAGAATTAAAACACCTCACCTCTGCTTTTCTCTTTAATAATTTCTAAAGATATTAAGCGTTTCATCGCAAAATACACTTCACCGCAACCTTCCAATAACAATGAGTCTGAAAACAATCACACACTTGCCACTGTTGTCCGTCCTTACATCCAAAACATCAGTAACCACATATCAAAAGTTCTTAAGAAATATAATGTCAAAACCTGATTCGATTCGTCAAAGACAAAATTCCATTTGAGATGCCAGGAGTTTACAGCATAAGCGGCAAAGAATACATTGGAGAGACCGGACAAAAGAGCCTTAAAAGTGAGAAGAAAAAATTAACAGCAGTTGGGGGGACACAATCACGAAACCGGAAATAACATTTTATTCGACAAAACTAGAATTCTTGCTTGTAATCAATTCTACTACCAACGAAAAAGTCAAGCAATCTTAACCTCGACTCAGATCTTTGCGTGAATCATAGGAATCACTCATCCGAAACGATGCCCCCCTAAAACAATGTATAAGTAGGTACAGAGTAAAATGCGAGTCAGATTCACTTAAGCTCTGAAGAAGCCAAAAGGATGATTGGCGAAACGTTAGCAAGTTCGACTCAACAACAACCGATGCAGGAGGTAGATGTCCAGAACTTTTGTAAATAGTATTACAGTAGCCTGTGGAAGTTTCTTTGAAAAAAAAAAGCATAGAAACTAGAACTCTTAAATTGTAATATTATTTTTATCCTTCAAAAAATCATTCTTTTTAGTAGTGTTTTTATTGAGTTATTGCCTACGTCTTTTGTGAATTTTAAACGCGGTATTTTTTGAAGTCACTTGGTAACCATTTGGTAAGAACTTCCGCAGACACACTGTATAGTATTGAAAATGTGACAAGACAACAGTATATTATGCAACAAGTGCGATAAACGGCATTTGACTAACGAGTTTATTTGAGCGGAGCGAGTTTTTAATAAACGAGTGATTTAAAAAGTTTACCGAACGTGTTGCATACTACACTCTGTAACCCGAAAAAGAATTTTTTTACACCATTCTTTTATAGTAACTTTTTACCTTAATAATACTTGAAAAATCTCTTTTGAATCACTTGTTATAATCAGAACTAAATAGCATCCAAACCGCTTTTGAGAAAATACTGTCGAAAAAATCCACATCTAAATTGACAATTGTCGAATTCACGAACTGTCAACGGCCATGTTGAACAGACCAAGACCCCATTGGCTGAAAGCTAGGTTGTATTTAATGTGCGCGTACGCAGTAGTAGTTGAGAATTGTCAACGAAAAGAAAAAAATATTAATCGCAATTTGGAATTGTAAACTCCTATGGTTTCTGCCACCTCAGTGGTGGTGGATGAATTTGAATTAAAGTGAGTCTGAAACAATTACTCTTAACCATATCGGATCAGAAATTTTGACTCTGCTTGCTATTTGCTATTAGAAGTTTCTCCTGTGAAAGTCTTTCATATTCTATACACTGAAAAATAAGAATTGTGGCAACGCTGGGCTGTAATGGTGCTCTGTTTTCACAGATGTCAAAACTGTAGATATTTTACCCGCGTTTAAAAGTGGTTGATAATGTTTGAACTCTAGCATAGCGATTTTTATCATGTATATAGAAGACTTGAAAACGGATTTTTACGAGTTTTTGTCCGGAAAGGTAGACAAAATGCCCTAGCTGTATATAAATATTTTAACCTGAAAAATGTTGCTCCCAAGTCTTGCGAGACCCATATGTTTATTATCCTTTTATTTCCAGCGAATACTGTTGGTCGTTCATTATGACATCGATAGCATATGCGCTTGTAAGATTCTGCAGTCGTTATTAAAATACAAACACATAGTTTACACTCTCTCAGTGGTCCAGGGCATTAGTGATTTGAAACAGGCCTATACAGAACATTGTGAGGATGTTAAATTCTTTGTGTTGATAAATTGCGGAGGTACTATTGACATCATTGAAGAACTGGAAGCCAATGACGATGTTGTTTTTTTTATCTTGGACAGCCACAGACCAATTGATTTGTGCAACATTTACTCAAATGGACAAGTGAGGTTGCTACACACGTCCGAGGAAGACGCTTTAGTACCTGATTTTAATGACATATTCAGAGAAGAGGTACTTGTTATTACGCTTTTATAACAGGTGTTTCATATCAAATTTTAGTCTGAGGCAGAATCTGAAGATGCTGATGACAATGGCAGCGGTGATGAAGAAAGCAGGACAGCAAAAAGAAGAAGGTTAGATGAGCAAGCTATTATGAAACGACGAGAAAAAAGACTGTGGGAAGAAAACAGAAATAAGTTGTTGTTTGACTATTCCCAATTCACCTACTATGCTAGAGCAGTAAGTAATGATAAGATATAAATTTTTGTGGTGAACCTTAATTTTGTAGAGTGCCATTTTGATGTTTGAACTTGCCTGGAAACTAAGTAAAGATGATAAAGACTTGTTGTGGTTAGCAATAGTTGCTTTGACTGAGCAACTCTTGTTGGGAAAAATAGAATCCACACAATATACTCTTGAATTGGGCAATTTACAAGCACACTGCACGAGACTTCACAACAGGGCTAATGATGCTGATGTTCAAACATCACTGAAAATACATTTCGAAAAAGATTTGAAGTTAATGCTTTACAGACACTGGACAGTGGAGAGTAGTATCAAATTTTCCACTTTTACAGCTGTAAGAATGAAGCTTTGGACCCTTCGAGGTGACAAGAAAATCCATGAGCTATTGGCTGACATGGGGTATGACAGGGACCTCTTGTTACATTTAAATGAGACTTTATTAGAGTATTTCAGGTTGCCTCTTGTGCAGAGTCGACAGGCTTTTAAGTCAATGGATTTGCAGCTTCGCAAAGAGTTTCATACTTCCCTGGAAAAGCAATCTGTGAAGTATGATCTACAAGATATTGAATTTGTATCATTTATATTACAATATGGTTACCGCAATAAGTACTGTGCGTCCGATATAGTTTATGCATTGCTCGCCATCCTTGAAGCATCAGTAAGTTGAAAGAAACGTTCGTTCTTGTTTTTGTAGCATTTTAATGTTCCAGCCCAGAGAGAAGAAATGTGGAGAGTTGTTTAATCAAGCTTTGGACTGTTTGTCCAGAACCAAAACTGAAGTTATCACCAATGCTATTGAACGGGCCAAAATTGTGATAAAAACTTTATTTAAAACGGTTCAGGGAGCGGTAGATATGAAACAAATTATAATGGCTGGACCATTTGTTTATTACATAATACAGGAGGTACCGTTCCGAGTGATTTATTTCCGTGGTTCATTTGACCTACTGTTGATTTTACAGGGTTGTTTAGATTGGTATATGCTCTCCCATCCTCATATACTGCTGTTGCTGGCCCAATTTATATTGCAGGCGTATGTGTGCATGTCCAGAAACAGGAAAGCATCAACTCTACCTCTAATAGTGTCTGCGCCTCGGGACTTAGAGAACAACACGTGTATATTGGTGGGAATACCACCTTTGTGTGAAAATTCTCCCAAAAAGTAATTTGACTATTGCAATTTATTTTTTTAGTTTGTGTGTATATATTTTTTTAGTTTTTTCGGCAAGGCTTTTGAACAAGCAGCCGAGAGGATGAACTGTGAAGCGAGCTGTGATTTTTTCGACACATCATGTTAGTAGTTTAGACTTACTGAAAGATATTCTTTTATAACACATTTTGAGTTTGGATTAATTTTAGATTTTGAAATTCACGCGAAAGATCGGACCAGGTTTTTTGACGCTCTGGCTGCACTTTTGAACTAGATAGAAAGACGACCGCCAGATATTCTATTCTCAGTGAGAATGTATTACCACTATTTTTATAAAATAACATTTCAATGTAAATATTTTATTTATTATTGTACAAATAGTTAAGTCAGTTATGCGGTGTAAATAAAATTCGAATATGTTTTGATGGATTACTTTTTTAACATTTGTAATAAAAAATATTTTGCAAATGCAAGGAGAATTTTCATTTTACAGTTGTGTCAGAGATATGGATACACAGAAATAAGTTGCATTTTGTCTTTTGAAAATATAGTTGGCAGATGTACGAGATTTCAATGTAAAAGTATAATTAGATAAATAACAAATATATAAACAATAATAAACAACGAATAGGTATTAAAAGGTATCACAGGAAAGAAAATCCTTAATATTGTAATAGGATACGGATTGTAAACAAAAAAACTGGCTCACCCTGTATATGTTCAACAGATGTGCTTAATTTAATTTAAGTACATTTGAACTACGTCCGATCAAACAGCGCATGCGTGACATTTCAAATGTCGCGTTCAAAATCGCCGTTTCACTTTGTTAAGTTCTTAATTTTAGTAATTTTTTGAATTCTGTAAGTCAGCACCGATACGTCTGTGAACCAGGTTTTCGAAAGAAATCAGCTAAGTTAATTGCTATCACTTTATGCCACTAACTACAAAATTCTTTATTCCACGATGACCCTACGTGTAATCCAACTTACCGGTTAGCAGAGAACTCTGCCGAAATTCCCCAGCATAGACTATTTTACAAAGCTCTTCCAGGGTTGCGGCGTTGCCAATACACCACCATCTCAACAAAATATATATATAAAAATATATTCCGAGACAGTCGATGGGAAACAAAAAATATTTTCTAAGATGCTATACTTATATGAACTTTCTAATATTATTTTCATTGTTGGCGCAAAAAAACGTCTGTTCTGCAACAACACAACCGTTGTTACGCATAGAAATCTATTCTTTGCTGTTCTGCCTTATCTGGGACACAATATGTATACACGTTATATATTTCTCTCATAATTTCGCCAAAAATATGAATAGCAAAATTTTTCGGATATAAGTTGATGGTTACAAGAAGGTGACCAAAAAAGAGAGTAATAGCCGGAAAAAATCTACAAATTACAAAAAATTTCAACGGGCCTGTCCGGGATTTGAACCCGGGACCTCTCGCACCCGAAGCGAGAATCATACCCCTAGACCAACAGGCCGTTATAAATTTTGTTTTTTAGATAACCTTTTTAATCACGTACCACGTTTTGTTTTATCCTAATTTTATTTAATTAATTATATAACAATTGGGTAGTGGAAAAAAATCACACGCGAATATTTCAATTAACCAATGAATTAAACAGTCAATTGTTCACTTGAATGTAATCTTTAAAATGTTACGCTAATTGCAGCTTTAAGCTGTCACTACACAAAGCAGTGTTATTTTCAGCAAGATTTTGATACTAGCGTGGCCTTATAAATAAAATATATAAGCGAAGCTGATTTAATATTTGGAAATAAGCGAAAAGTGATCAAGCACTGGCAAGTTATGGGGGAAGTTAGTGATACTGATATCTACCGAGATACTCCCGTTAGGTATTTGGGTAGGTATAGCATAATAGTATAATCATAACATCGAACACACTCACATATATTATGGAATGTTAACTTTGTGTGCTAAGATAATATTTGGTGGCAGGTTACGCTAATGAGGTCGGTGAAGCCTTCAGATCGATTATTGGGTCAAAATGGGTCAACGTCAGCTATGGCATTGCTACGATCTATGTTTTAGCTGATACTGGACACAAAAGTCTAGAATCATTTAAGGTACCTACTGAGTTTTTTTTAAAGCGAGTAACCTCATTTTGTGACAGGCAACCAAACATACACTTATAAGATTTTTTTTTCTTCTTTTCAGAAGAATATGAATGAATCGAATCATCTAACAAGAGTGGCCTATACAACGACCGACACTTTAATTTGGCAGTTATTGGCATCAGTGATAATCCCAGGCTTTACAATAAACAGAATTTGCACATTTACCAACAACAATTTGATTAAATTTAATAAATTTCCTAAAGCTGCTCACAAAGGCATTGTAACAGGAATAGGATTGTTTGTTATACCTTTTATTATAAAACCGATTGATAGGTTCGTCGAATATGCTTTAGATGAAACTTTAAGGAAATTTAAACCAAAGTAGTGACGAATATGATAAGCAGTAGATCTTTTATTTACGTCAATATAAGAATTTAATGATTAATAATTGCGATGTACAACTTGTTGTAATATAATATTAACAATGTTATATAATAAATCGTTGAATGTTGGTCCGTATTTAGTGGGCGAAAATTCTGAGCATGAAAATCGGGTATAAGGTTATGGACAATCTCTGGCAAATCGCTAAAAGCAAAAAAGAAGACCAAGGACCAAGTAAAACTTGCCCAAGATGTAAGGTTAGAATGTTGTTTGAATGTAGAATAGAGATTTATTTTTATGAGTTTTTAGTTAATATTTGAATACCTTAAATATTGCAAACAAAATGGGCAAATTTCTAGAAACCAGGTATTCGAATGTTCAGCAACGTGTGGTTAAAAAGGCTTCTAAAGCCGTTAGTAAGCTGCAAAAGGATTTTTCTCAAAAAGATGAGGTTAGGAGTTATTCGTTTCAAAAAATCAAGCGAAAGATTGGTAAACTCTCTTCAAATTTGGAACCTCCGGAGAAAAAGAACAAAATACAACACGAGGAAAGCGGTAATACTATAGAATCTCGAAGCGTGAACGCTATTTTTAAAACGAACGTTAAAAATGATTATGTGCACCTTGAGATAGATAAGGAAATTGATATATTTTGTGATGATGAATTAAGATCGATTTACACGCTTTACACAAAATTTAACTTCCTGTTTCATATTTATGACGAAATTTGCCTAGAAGGGTTAGATGGTATAACAATTGAAGCGCTTTGGAAAAGAATAAGCATTGCTTTGAAGTATCCAACATATCTGGATATTATTAAATCCTTAGTATGGAAAATCATTTGTTTGAATACAAAAATAAAGTTTTATAAACTTCCAATGCCAAGAAAGGAGTTGGCAATACACAATAGGCATATAAATCTAGAACTTGGCATTATTATAGATAAGGCAATGCCAGATATTTATGAGCACGCAAATATTAATGGAAAATTGAAAAACGTTCCAGATATGGGTTCTTGTGCCACATACGAAACCAGAGAGGATGTAACAGAACTAATCCGTAGCTTGCCATTAGCACAAACCTCTAAAATGTATCAAAATGCTTTAGTGATTGTTGCTGACCAAGAATTGAGAATCAATGCTTTATATGATGTACATGTTGATCCAAATATTGAAATATCCCCTATAGGATATTGTGTGCTTGAGAGAATTGGTAGATCACGGGAGCTGGGGCAGCATACACAAGGGGCAAACTCTTTAAGTACTTCTCTTAATACCAATGCTAAATCTGTGTTTCATTATCAGAAAAATTTGGTCAATAATGGTCTAATTTCCAAACAAGTGCTTGTGATAAAGTGTCCAATCACAGGCCAAAATAAAAATGGTAGCTTGTTGCACTTAATGAGATTCTATAACAAGAAAAAATCAAAAAACTTGCTAATTGCAGAAGCTATTATCAACAAATTAAAGAAAAGCCCAGATTATAGATTAGAGTATAATAAATTAAAAGCAATGTTTAACATCGGTTATGGCTTTAAAAAGGTTTTACGAAATCCTGAACTTCGAAAGTACCTGAATTTTGATACCATTCCATATAGGGAACTATATCCAGATGCCAAGAAATCTGAGTGGATGTTGAAGAACAAAAATCAGGAGAAGCAATTAACAACTATCTCACTTAAAGATCCTTATGTTAATATATCAGCTTGTTGGTCAGATGTTGGGCTTAATGCCGAATCCTCTGATGAAGAAGACGAAATTGGTATGAGAATATTTTCTAATCTCAAATAATAATTCTAAAAAACTATTTTTTAGATGATAGCGGTGATTTGGGTAGTCGGACGTTAAATATAGATGCTTTTAGGGATGTGTATATGTATATTTTATCCAAAGGTCCCGAAGGCAGCAATACTAAAGAAATAAGCTCACATTTCGCCTTTGATAAGTTCACTCTAAGAAGCATTTTTAAAAAATTGGTAACTCAGAATGTGATAGATACCAAGCTCAAAGATGTTGGCAAAGCTCGTCTCTTTGTGTAAATAATCATTTTTATTTTCATTTACTTACAATTTATTTACTAAAAAAAAACATATTTTTTATCAAAATTCTATACAAATTTCATGCAAATTTCGCCATTTCTGGTGATGCACAATATCTAAAAGTTTTTCCCATACGGAACTCACCATGTAGAAAAATTTAGTTAGTAATTACAATAATTAATAATGCAGGGTGTTGAAAGAAATTCAAATTAAACTGGAATTGATAAAATGGCAATTTTTTTTTTTTGTAAATGAAAACCACTTATTTTTATAATCCTATCTTATTTAGTATTAAAAATTATGACTAATTTGTATTAGGTTGTATATTCCGAATATTTGTGGCTTTTAAAAATTTGAATTTTGGTCTGTTCCATATAGCTAATAGAGATAACCTGTTACAACTGTAATTGCCAATGCTGGTTTTCGACCAATAATATGTTTCAACGTTCAATAACTAACGTGGTCACGGACAGATGCAACAATTTTACGGCAGTATTTTCTCCAAATATATCCAGATGCTACTAAATCTTCAGGCAAAAAGGAGTTAATGAGCGGAGAACTCTGTTAAAAAACATACTGCAATTTCACGAAAGCAGAAATTATACAAGTTTGTGAGTGGAAGTCCTATATAAAATAACTTTAATTTTTTTAAATTACTTACGATTACGATTTTCTTTAATTTCCTTAACTGTTCTGGTTAAAACTCTTTGTTTTTCATAAATAATAATGAAATTCAAATAATTTTTGTGCGTATGAGCTTGTGCCCATGCCTCTACATTTCACCCACTAACCTGCACTTTGCGCAATTTTCTTTCTAAACAGCGATATTCACATATTATATATATATATATATATATATATATATATATATATATATATATATATATATATATATATATATATATATATATATATATATATATATATATATATATATATATATATATATATATATATATATATATATATTGCTTTAAGATTTAATGGAACCTGCACATAGTTTGAGAAAATACTGCCCCCAAAAATTCGTCTTTCTCAATTTTTTTCTTCATAGTTGCTTCATAAGTTCCTGTATTTTCAGAATTACGCAAAATTACGCATATCTCTAGTATATTCTCGCAATCTGCAATCTGTAGTTGTGTGTCTCGAAAACTATAAATAAGTAACAATTATAAAAATAGATGGTGTGTATTTGAAAAAAAAAATGTTTTTTGCAAGTTTTTTTTATTTAATTTTAATTGGTAATTTTTCAATATACTGTATTATTAGTAATTGAAATTTAAGGTAAGGGAAAAATTGGCAGATATTTTTGGGTTTGCAAACATTATTTTTGACATAAAATGTTAAATATCTCAGAAACGGTGAAGTTTGGGTATAAAATTTTTCGACAAATTCAAAAAAGTAATAATATATAGCGTGTTCCATTTAAAATAAGATAGTGGACACTCACTTTTGGTACATCCGAATGTACATTTTGAAAATATTTTAACCGGGTTATCCCCACCAAGATTAGTTGAATTCAATTCTTTAAAAAATATTTGCCACTTATAATTTTGCTATAAAAGATCGACGAAGTTCCCAGTGGAGCACCTTGTATATATATTACCTTTTTTGAAAATCGAAATAACATAATTGTAGAATAATTTTTTCATTCTCTGTTTCAAATAACTATTTTTATTTGTGGCTTAAAGTAGGCTTTCTTTTTAGATATTTTGCCACTATATATTCGCGAAAAGCAGTAAATGAACGACCATTTCTAGACTTAAAGTTTGAAATACCCGGAAGTTCCAGTAATAGGATTATTGAGAGGCAAAAATTGGGACTTAAACGGCTTTTGGATTCCCAAGGAGATTTGGGTTACAGTAAAAAACAGCACATTGAAGAAAATGCCTCTAAATATGTAAAACCAGAATTTCTGCCAATAATTTTGAATAGGCCTTCAGTAATGTGTGAATATATCGCCAAAACCTATTCCAGCACGTTAAGTGTAGATGCTTGGGAAGTGGAGCCTCCAACCAAATTTAACTGCTTAAAGAAACCGTTCCCAGTTAGGTTGGTTTTTATGGAGTTTGACGTAAACGAAATAAATAATATTATTGACATTTGGATCACATTCAACCCAAACAACATAGAGGCACAAAAAATAATGTATTGCGTAGGAGAGTGTTATTCTATTAAGAGAGATGTAGAGTATTTGACCGTAGGTTATTTACTAAAGGCATTTTTGGGAGAAATACAAATAAACAGCGCAGAGGTCTTATCCGCATTGAATTCAAATTGGGATCAAGTTAAAGTGCCCAACAAACCACTCCAGAGGACAAAGTTTAATATTGGGGCACTACAAAATTATGAAGAAAAACTAGATTACATGGTCAAACCGGTAAAGGTTTTCCAAGATAGGAGCGATGATATAGACATAGAAATTTTGATGTCGCTGCCGCCAAAATCCTATGTGTCTGGAAATATAACTAACTATAAGCATGCCGATAAAAGTGTAACTGACAGAATGATGAAGAGGATATTGATAGTGCTGGACGTTATCAATGAGACGCGGGTTTTCGAAGACTTACAAAAGATGGTTAAAGTGATTCAGGCTCGGGAACTCGAAGAGGGTTACAAGAAAAAAATTGATCGTAAATGCTTAGCACGGCTGTATCGAAAATTAGTATTAGAAGGATATATCAAAATCTACAAGGTCACAATGAATGACAAAACAACGACAAGGTCGCAAATATTTGTGTGCCATCCCAGCATAAGCTATACCCATTCATATATCCAGTCTGTCATAGAGCAAATAAAATTTAAATTTTTTTCGAAAACCGACCAATCTTTGTCTCTCGAAGTCAACGCGCTCAAGGATAAGGTGAAAATCGTTAGCACCCGGTCGCCATTTATCGAAGACGACGTACTGCAGAGCATATCGGAGATAAGAAAACTGAATCGCATCAAAATTAACAGCATCAAATCGAAATATCATAAAACGGCTGGAAAAAACTATGGATACAAGCAAAAGTTTATCAGAATGAACATACTGCATGAGTTGCTCTTTTATCTTATCTACGATTTGCCTGTAGGTACACAAAGATTGACAGATGCTGAGGTTTTGGATTTATTCCATCAATTTCAGGTACAGAATAAAATAATAATAATAATAATAATAATAATAATATCAATATAACAATTTATTGTTAAAAAAAATAAATAGGTAATTAGAAAATGAAATAGGGAAATACATTTACCTTGTTGACAGCTCTCTGTTTCACCACTTTTGTACTCTGAGTAAACTTAAAATATAAAATAACAAAATAGCGTTGATTCTGCTATACCGGATCGTTCCTGGATCCCCAAGAATGTGACTAAAAAGGAAAGTTCAAATAAACCTATATATAATAATAACCAATTACAATAAAAAATATTTTTCTTTTTATTTAAATATTTTTAGGATTTTTTCCATTAATGTATTTTGATGTGGAACATTTTTTAAAGCCATACTCCAAATTTATGATTTTTTACTGCAACAAGGTTTAGTCTCAGCATTTTGAAAATCTGCAACTACTTTTCCTTTCATCAATTTCTTCTTTTTTCTTGTTCGCCTATTCAGTCTTACCCCAGCAACAATTAGGTTTAATTCATTTATTTTGTTATTATATCTCCATACATCGAGGGTCTTCCTTCTATCGTCTGTTTACATTACTTTTCTGTATTAATGAGACACCTTGTCATTGTATTATTATGAATTTAGACCTCTCTTTAAAGAAGGGGTCAATAATATATAACAGCTTGGGACTCGTTCCTATTTGATTTGCTTCAGTTTTTCATCAATCTTAAATTAACATAAAATCCTGCAATAGACTTTCTTTTACTAGTTTGCGTCAAATAAAATACTTGTCTGTAGATATTTGTACTACTATTATGAATGTTGCCTTCTACGTATTAACGTAATTAACTTCCCTACTCAAATGTCTCGTGATGGTTATAAAGAAGGCAATATTTAAACACACTACAAAAATTTTGAATAATACAAATATAGTCTGGTTATGTGTAGATGAAATAAGCTTTTTTTATTTTACTTGACACAAGCAGATATGAAAATAAAGTATACGAAGTGAATTTATTTAAAGGTTAGTCAAAAACTGACGAAAAGGAGATATTTGAAAGGTATAGACCCGCAATAAAATACCCTTCTTGTAGATCAATCTGTCAAGTGAAGATTTGAAAACGATGCCGCCTATATATTGCAAGGAAATTTCATGGAAAATGTTTATTCCGCCGTTACCCCTGCATCTCGGGTGGGAGCATGGATGGGCGTTGCTTTGCGATATTATCCTTAGGATACCTTTCTCGATAATGCTGAAAATACACAATGTACCGTTTCAGTTGGAAGAAATTACGGAAATTCTTCAGCATCCTATTAAAAGGTTCGTTTGTGGGATCGTTGTTATTCATAGTAAATAGAGAATCATTTAAAGGTACTATATGATGAGGGACCATCCGGAAACCGTTACAGCTGCGGTGATGTATATGAGAAAGTACATATTCAACATATACGAGATCGTATGTCGTTTGGCATACTGCGGTTTAGTGCAGTTTGGGCCTTCGCGATACAAGCAAAAGGACCAAATGTTTATGTATCTGAATCGAAGGGCTAGTCTGCTAGACACCACCACTTCGGAGCATGGATACCACAAGGTGTCCGTTCAAGAATACCGTAAATTGGAGTTCTTTTTTAACTCGCTGAATGACGTGAGTCAATATTGGTCATCCATGCACGATATAAGTAAGTCTTACCGTAGTAGTCTAGCATATTTTGAAAAAATACGTCCTTAAAAATGCTACATCGCATCTGAAACTTGTCGAATTGAACTGTCAGCGGGTATGTTGGTTGTTCCACCGCGCTAGTTCTTACTCGTCGAAAACGAGGTTCACACGACCAGGCATGCTCAGGCCCATCTCAATATTTATTTTCATCGCCGCTCCAAAAATTTCTATATCATCAGTGTAGAAAAATAGTGGTAATAAAATAATAGAGGCACAAATTCTTGAGAAATTCCGCAAATTAGTCTCACACTCCAAACCAAACTTAGCAGCAGTCATTTTCAAAGATGGGGATTTTAAATTAAATCTAGATAGGAACCGGGCACCATTCAAACTCACAGTTAAGTCTATTTAGACTAATTAGTATACATATGTCCCGTATCAGAATCATGATCGTCTGTATCAGTTAAATGCGAATAGGTATCTTCTAGAGGATAAAGATCCCCTGAGATCCAGCCACATTTCCCCACAGAGAAATGGGGTAAAGAATGTGATACTCGAAGAAAGCGCGGTACTCTGATGTGTATCCACGCTAACAAGATGTTTCGATCTTAATGTTCATTTGGTGTTATGCAATCTTCTTATGGTAATATAAAATATAATGGCAAACTATAGTATAGAAGCCAAGACTCAAAGAAGGGATCTTGGTATGTTTCTGGATGAGAGGTAGATATTTGTTCCTCACATTGACCTGATTGTTTAACTTGCCCATAAATAACATCATATCCTAGCTTTAGTCCACATAATGCGCGTTTAAGCATTCTATTTTATATAAAAAATTATAAATTTAAGGTGTACACACCAGGCTGAGTTCCAGGAATATAGTCAAAGGAAAAACGATAACTTTAATGGATGTAACATGTAAGCCCGACCTGATGAGGGCTCTTTCGGCGAAAACGCCCGACGAAGTGTTGAAATACGACAACGGCCACATACCGGGCGATCAGAGAGGCGCTGCCGGCATAGACTCGTCCATGTGGACTCACATCTCCAAAAATTGGTTCTGGAGTTATTCGAACAGCAAAGAAGATAACAATTCAGTGAGCGGGTTGAAGGAAGAAAAACTGGAAAAAGTGCCGTGATCTTCAATCCGAACGACCAACATAACTCACCATATTTGTTTTCAGATTCCGCCGCGAGTGGTAGGTTTCCAGGAGCTCTACGAACCGGTTCAATCTACAAAAGTATATCTTCCTAAAGTAAAGGCTACTTTAGTAAAGGCAAACTTTAAGATTGGTAAAAATAAGAAATGGCGACGACCGGTGTCGAATATAAAATCAAAAGGTAGGCTGGCGCGGCGCAAAAGAGAATATTATGATTCCGTCGACAAGGCGATAATTAAAAAAAATCCGCGCTTGAGGCTCACTGTCAATTGGACCGAGGCCGAGGATAGGGCGCTTTATTTTATAAAATTCGCGACCATGTTTATAAGTCCTAAACCCCATAAACAGTTAATATGGTACACGGTGATCCGAGATGTTCTACATAGAATGGTGCCTGTAGATAGTGCAGATAAGACTTCAAGGTAGGTTTAAGTTTAAAGTAGTGTATGCGTGGGGACGCCTTATCGCTTTGATCTTTGACCATTTGACCAATTTTTTATACCTTCCTAACCAAGTCAACCCTCGCATGACGTCGGTTATTTTGTGCGGGGAAATGTGTTTCAATGCAGCAAAGTATGGCTAGTATGGGGGTTATATTGTCTTTCATTGCTCCGTGTTGTTTAATTATTTTATTTACTCATATAATTCTCACTAAAATCATTTACATATTGTTATTTACTATTCAAATATTTTTTTCAATATTTGTATAAAACAAAATATATAATAATCCAACTTTTTAAGAAACCTTCCAAAAAATCGCATATAAAATTGATATGCAAATGGACTAAAAAGTGAAAGATATAGAAAAACGCCATTCTTTGTCAAATAAGGTTAGCATTGCTGACGTTTGTCTTTTTGTATAGGGTAGGAAAAAAATACAAAAAAAAAGGAAATTTGGTTAAGTCACGTGGTCTTTTTAGAGCTTAAGCGCTTAAATACAAATGTTATTTTAAATTTCCAGCAGAGATTCAAAATTTAGATTTAAAATCAAAATATTTCTAAGTAATATTATCACCTATTTTCTTTGATATTATTTGATATTTACATTTCAATATGTAATATGCCAAACAAAATATTGCATTGGCAATTTACTACAACCCTTGTGAGTCCGTCATTTTGAATTATAAATATTTTTTTTCAAAGAAACTTCGCAACGCATTCTCTTCTGTACTTGCTTATATTATATTGTATGATCATTGTCTGGATTGACTCATTCCCATAATGGTAAAAGGTTCTTTCATGTTCTTCAAGGCTATGACTCATCAGTTGTTTCTCGAACACAATCACTATAGAAATCTATAAGCAACCAAACAATCTTAACCGCGACTCGGGTCTCTACCTGTTACCAATATGGGAATCAGTCATCAGAGACAACATTCATGCTCCGCCTTTAGCTCCGTAGTTTTAGTTAAGCTCTGAAAAAGCCAATAGGGTGATTGGCAAAACGTCAGCAAGTTCAGTTCACCAATAACCGTCTCAGGAGGAATCCAGAAGTTTTGTAAATAATTTTACAGTAGCCCGCGGAAGTTTTTTGGAAAAAGAAATTCCTTTGAAAAATTTGGTTGATAGGAAGAGTGCAACGTGAGTTGGGACATTTGACCTACTCCGTAGAATCTGCAAAAGCCTAGCAAATTTATTTATCTTTGATTGCCATATTGGTAACTGTCTACTATAACTATACTATATAGTGTCTTTCAAATTTTAGTAATACGATTTTATTACATTTTAAATGTTGACATATGTTCGCAAACTCCTCTTTACCGATCTGCAGTATGTTAAAGCTTGGATGTATTTTGCATTGTAATATAAAAAAAAATAAAGCCCAACAAATACACAATTACATCTAAACCAATTTAAAAATACGGATCAACGTCTAACTTTTTTCAATTGTTAAAAATTTCAATTAAAACTTGCGAATACCAAAACATGATTTTAATTTTTTTAATAAGAGTCGTAGATGCGAGGGAATTACAAGAGACGAAAAATTTTCTCTAGGAAAACGGAAAAGTGCTTTAAAGGAGAAGCGAAAAAATCTTTAAACTAGCATTTTTGTATAAATCTTTCACCAAGCGTTTTACGACACTTGTTTATAGAAAAAAATTACCAAACTATCTTCCTAAATTCTTGAAATTGAATTTTAAAACGTCCTGTTTAACAATACAGAGTGCTTCAACAAGGCGTACCACTAAAGTAGCTCTAAATGTTAGGAGATAAGAATAAAAGTTTGATAATGGTCTGAAAATAAAAACTATTTTCAATAATATCCTGATTCATTTTTAATTAATTTTTATAGGGCATGTCAAAGACGTCTCAGGTTGTTATTTAAGGACGAAATCGAACAAGCGAAAATGCAAGCGAATGTAGCCAATCTGCTTAAATTAGGACCCGTTGCCGAATATTTTTCGGCTTTTGTTTCATACTACTTTAACGGCGTCGACGCTGCGGGACGACGCTTCAAGCCATCGGAATCTGAAATGCAGACTGCTTTTATTTTCCTCATGTCCTATATTGCGAGCCATCAGAAAGAGGTGAGCAGAGCCATGGAGGGCAGTTTGCAGAGCGTCGACCACTTCTCTCCGTTAAATTTGCCGTACAGCGAATCCAACTTGATGCTGATAGAAGATTTGGTCCACAAATTCAAAGACGCTTCAAATTCGGAAGACATCAACAATGATGTCGTCAAATCGGTGATCATTAGCTCGTTGAGCAATAAAAATGACGAAACAGGTAAGTGGATAACTTGGTGAGATACAATACAATACAATATCTTCATTACCTTTACATAGCCAACCTATAAAAGCTTCATCATAAATATAATATAAAAATCATTAAATACAAATTGTAAAAAGAATATGCAATAAGTGCAATTAAGGTATAAAGAAGAAATATTTAGGGGTATACATCATTAAACAAATATTTTAAGGCACTCGAATTGAGTTTTGCTTTTTTGACAAACATTCGGAGTTCTTGGAAATTATAGGAAGATTCTTTATTTAAGAATGATTTTATTTGTATTTTAAAATTGTTTTTTTTTTTTGAAAATAGAGGTTTAAGAGCTAGATTCCACATACCCCAAGAATGATAACAAATTTAAACCATTATGTGGAGTTTTTTGATATATTTTAATTCACTTCTACTGCTGTTATACTTTAGGTGCGAAATTTATTATTAAATTAACACAAATTTAAATGAAAAAAATTGGATTCTTACATATTTTCATATAAAATAAAATGACACTCTTGTTATTGGGGTGTTGCAAGTCTCCGCCCGTGACCCGGTTTTTGCTTTTTTTAGTTGATTTCAGCTTTTTTTTTAATATTCTTTGTTAAAAATTTGTAACCCTCCTTTATGGCTGCTTTAAAATTAAATAAAATATTACTGAACAATAAAACAATAAAAAGCATAAATTGTCTTCCTCAGGACAATGAAAATCTATAACATTCATTTGCACAATTAATGTGTCAATTGTTGCCTCTAAAAACTAAGGTATCTGATTTGGGAATCTGTGGCTAGCAGGATTGGGCTGATTTTAATGAAGTGATTTAAATCACTTGATTTTTTAAAATCTTTTTATATTGAGACCAACACAAAAATTCACAAACAAGTTTTAATAAGCGAATAGCTTCAGAGTTTTCAATGCATTGAATCAGTAGCAAAAATTGCCTTTCCTATTTGTTTGTCAATCTTTTCTTTTCAAGCTCTTGATGTTTGCATTACGAAACTACTCAAATTAGGCTGATTTTCAGTTTTTTTCTTTTTCATATTTGGACCTGTTGATTAGTTGGACCTTGCGGAGATTTCCAAAGGCTTGCCAAATCTGTCGTGAGTGTCGTGGAAGTAAGATCTGCAGAACTGTTAAGCGACATTCGAGCACCTAAAAAAAAATAAAACAAAAACAGTTCCTTTAAAAAAAGGGTTATTGGATTTTAAATCGTGTACATTCTTTCCTAAGATAAAGAAATTATACGATATGAATACGAAATACTTTTTTATGTATTGAAAAAAATGAAAATAAAGTAAAGTATCTAAAAATTATAAGCATTAACTTAAATAAAATATGCATGAATTCAAATTTTGGCACGAAAAGACAAAAAGGACATTTTTCAAATAAAAAACACCTTAATTCTTTTGAAAACGATTTTGTGAACCATATTTCTACCTTTTACGACATGGAAAGTTAAATAAAACTGAAATAAGTAATAATAAAACAAAATATTATTTACCTGCCTGTATTCGTTTCTTACTGCTTATTATCACAAATATCATGGTGTGCTTTAAGTCTTTGAACTATCCCTTGAATTTCTTTCTTGCAGATTTTACAAATCGGTCCACACCCAGATTTATTTGGATCTTTTGTTTTAATGTCAACTGCCATACGCGAGAGAAATTTTCTTGCAAAAAGCGCGTTATGAGGAACATTTAGTATGTATGTTGTGCTATATTGTTTACAGTGACTTTAAAATATTTTGTAAATGCTACAAAAAAAAAAAGAAAATACATATTTTTATGAAATAAAATGAAAAATCAATTTAAATCGAGAAAAATATAATCATGATTTATTTTCTAATTTCTATTTTTTTCTTCACAGGCTACTGTAATGCTATTTACAAAACTTCTGGATTCCTCCTGCGTTGTTGTTGAGTTGAACTTGCTTACGTTTCCAACAGGAGCTTAACTGCTTATATATTGTTTGAGGGAGGCGGACCTAAATAAGAAGCATGACTGATTCCCTTATTGGTGAAAGGGAAATACCTGAGTCACGGTTAAGATTGTTAGGTTATAGATTCTCGAATTTTTCGTTGGTAGAAGAATTGATTACATTCAAGAGTTTTAGTTTTATCGAGTAAAATTTTATGTCCGGTTTCGTGATTGTGTTCGGCAACTGCTGATGAGTTTATTTGTCTTAGTCTTAAGGCTCTTTCATGTTCTTTGAGCCTAGTTGATATTTTTCGTCCGGTCTCTCCAATGTATTCTTTGTCGCATTTAGCTCCGCCCCATCAAACAATATATAAGCAAGAACTGAGTAAAATGCGAGCCAGTTTCAGTTAATCTCTGAAGAAGCCAACAAATGATTGAGGAATGTTACTTTTTACAAAACTTCTGTATTCTTCCTGCATCTGTTTTTGCTGAGTCGAACTTGCTGACGTTTCGCCAATTATCCTGTTGGCTTATTCAGAGCTCGACTGAAACTGGCAAGCTGCTCAAACTCGGAAGAAGCCAACAGGATGATTGGCGAAACGTCAGCAAGATCAACTCAGCAAAAACAGACGCAGGAGGAATCCCAGAAGTTTTGTAAAAGGTATTACAGTAGCCTGTGGAAGTTTCTTTGAAAAATTAAAAATCAAAGTTTGTCCAACACTGGTGGTCAGTAAAGTTATATTTATCATCCCCATTAAACAGGTAACTTTTAGGACATGCAGCCTTCAATGGAAAACTTGGTTGAGTTTATTTAAAATACATTTGAAAAAGTATCCCTTCCATTCCACTGTGCTAAACAGAATTAGTAGCTAGTCAGAACAATTTTCGAAGGCTTTATACTATTACTAGTTTTTAAGGGTAAAAACTGGTCCACATTAATATATAATTTTTTTTGGCTAAAGTTGGTCTATTTAAAACGTATTCAAAATACAATATCTACCCCGCTGTATTCTAGTCTGTCTAATTTAGATTATTCTTGATTGGCAAAAATTCTTATTTGCTATTGCGTTCATAAACAAGTTAATGTTTCTTAAAAAAAAACACAAAAGCTACTCGCGTTGCTATGTTTCAGCCCCGCGTTTTTACCATTCAACTTAACATTCCAGGTCCCGCCTTGCAATTGTTCAATATTTATCAAAAATACAGCGATGTAACGATCAAATCGGCCATCCACGAGTTGAAGGAGGCTCAGGTCATGTCGTACAAAAAACTCAGCAATTTTAAACATACAATTCCATATCAGCTGTCTAGTTTCTACGTCTACACGCATTCGACGACATTCGCTTACTCTGACGTCGAAGAAGCGTTTGATGTTTTCTGCCAAGCGAGACGAGGCGAGGTGACCGTTGGCGAAGAAGATCTCGGCAGGTTGATTGGACTGGCCGAGATAATTAGTTTTTGTTGGCCGCAAATCAAGCCCAAGATTAATTTACCGCATTACCCGATGATTCTTAATCCGGACATCGATGATCACAGTGAAGTGATTGAGGAATTGGCCAAACGGTATTTAGTGAGGAGCAGCGGTAGCAAGGAAAGTGGCAATACGGAGGTTTGGACCAACAAATTGACAACAAGTGAGGTCAGCGTGAACGACGAAGAGTCGGAATCGATCGCTGAAGGCGCGGAAGAAAATGCAGCATTGAAGGAGGTGGAGGACGTCAGAGAGGTCGAGTTTGACGACGATATGGATATACCGTTGGAGTTTTCGTCTGACGACGACCTTGAAGGTATCGCCGGTCTGAAGTCATGGATACACGATTGCCTAGATTCCAATCGTGTGCGAAGTCCAAGCCCAGAACTGCTGAACTTTAAGCAATCGACGAGTAAACATGTCAGTATGGAAGCTGACGAATTGAATGCAAAAGCAAACAGCATAAAAGCTGAGCCCGGCTCAATTTTGAACGTGGAAGAGGGCGATTTCACATTAGAAGAGATCATGGAAGGGATGGTAAGGGAAACGGACGAAGCGGAAACAAGACGGGTGCCTTATATACTGGATCTGACTGATCTGTTGGAGGCTGATCCTGCAGACTTGGATGAGGTCAAGCTTATGGAAAAAATGAAGGCCCATTTTGTGCCTCAATTTCCATACTTGGAAGGCTTATTCATTGAAGATATGGAGGGATCTGAAATGATTTGGCGTGTGGAAGACAGAATGGCAAGCGAAGAAGTGTGGGATCAAATCCAAAGGTAATATTTATTAATATTTCAGTCGTTAAATGAGAGCTCTAAACTCCAGTAACCCTTTTTAAACGCAATGTATATTTCATTAATAACTCTAGCACAGGGTTCATTCGACCTATAGTGTAAATAGTGAATATTTAGCGTAATTTAATATTAAATGGAATTTGAATGAATGGTAATTAAAACCCTTATTTTCAGTTTAAAACAATTATTTTGCTAGATTATGTTAAAGTCGTTCACTTTTTGAGGTACATATAAATGTTCACTACAAATTTTTAAGCTTTTCAATGATTTAGACACTGATACACTTTTTTACAGGGCACAAATCATAGGTCAACCTAGAACGACGGACGAGGTAATCAACATGATTACAATTAACGGAGGAATTAGCAAAGATATTGAATTAACAAGGGCTGTGATAGATTATGCATTCAGCAAGGGGGTTTTGGGAGTGTCGGCGATTGAATTGAAGGTGTAGATTGAAAATTTGTATTTAAAAAAAATCCGTTAATGTTTTAATTCCAGACGGCATTTGCTGGCAAGACTGGGAACTGTTTACTGGAATTTATCGTAAAAACCCTCGTAGATTGCAACATATTGCTAAGGTCGGGTATAAAATCGATTTATTTCGTTCATCATTCTTACAGGAGCAACTGGTTGGTGGAATCGTTTGTTTCGTCATACGAGTCGTCTAGTGAAGACACAAAGGAGATGGAGATAAAAACTAAGTTGGTGTGGCTGAAAAGCCAGCAAACGGTCATCTAATTTTCTGTTTTTTTCGCAGATTTTCGGAACGTTTACGTTTGAGGCTTTATCCGTGGACGAGGGTCGACGGTACTTACAATAAACCACTATTCAAAGTTTGGATAACCAACGTTCTTTCCTATTGCGTGGAATATCCAAAAGTTACCATGTCTTGCTTATGTAGCAAATTCAATCTGTTCAAACCTGTTGATATTTTCTTCTTGTTGGAGGTAGTGAAACTTTTCTTTTATAAATGTTTTTTTCACATGTTCCACGATTCTTGGTTTTGATTTTAGATTTTACAATATCTTCATTGCGTTGAAATATTTAAGGTGCCAAAGTGCGATATCGACGCTTTCTCAAATTGGAATGTGCACGATGAATGTAAGTATGAACCGCAGGCGTCTTGAACTATCAATCTGTATGGTTATTACAGGTCGAGCGACGTTTTTGGATGATTTTGAAGAAATGTTCGTTCAGCCGACCACTATCGCATTTGTGTCGCTTGGTTCGTTTTTCAAATGTTTGTAGCACAGATGTGATTTAGCATGTTAAGTTTAAAAATTTTTATTTTGTAAATAAACGACTTTTATTTAAAAGAGTACTGTTTATTTCATAAAAATTAATATCTTAATCTACTATATAATTCGGGTGAACTACTAGCAAAGGATCGTCATCTTCGGTGTCTTCTTCAGCGCGACCTTTGAGTCCCGCTTCCGTTAGACTGATAATAATATTATCCTAAAAATAAGAGGAAATATAAAAATATTCCTATTTCTAATTTTTCATTTGAACTACTGTTCAAAACTTCCACAGGCTACTGTAATACTCTTTACAAAACTTCTGGACTCCTCCAGCGTCGGTTTTTTGCTGAGTCGAAATTGCTGACGTTTCGCTAATCATCCTGTTGGCTTCTTCAGAGCTTGACTGAAACTGGCTCCTATTTTACTCTGTACCTGCTTATATATTGTTTGAGGGGCACGCTAATGAGGGGTATTAACACCGTCTCGGATGACTGATTCCCAAATTGATGACAGGTAAAGACCTGAGTCGCGGTTAAGATTGATAGATTGTTTATAGATTTCTATAGACTTGGATTTTTCTTTGGTAGAAGAACTGATTACATGCAAGAATTTTAGTTTTATCTCATATCTCATTTTCTCGATGAAACTAAAATTCTTGCATATAATCAGTTCTTCTACCAACGAAAAATCCGAGAGTCTATAGAAATCTATAAACAATTTTAACCGCGACTCAGGTCTCTACCTGTCACAAATTTGGGAATTAATCATCCGAGATGGTGTTTATACCCCTCATTAGCGTCCCCCTCAAACAATATATAAGCAGGTACAGAGTAAAATACGAGCCAGTTTCAGTCAAGCTCTGAAGAAACCAACAGGATGATTGGCGAAACGTCAGCAATTTCGACTCAGCAAAAGTTTAATCTAGACATGCTATTATGAAACATTGGGAGAATCAAAGAGCCAGATTAATGGTGAGGTTTTAAAGCACTTTCCGCAACTGTCACACTTCACCACATAACGCCGTATTTACTTACCTGAAAACACAATCTATCAATTACTTTTTCAATCATGTCTTTCTTTTCTATCAACTCTTCTTCTGACTCTATTAAGTCGGCCATTTGAGTAAGGTACCACCCAACTAAGTCACTCTTATGGATACCTCCACTACCACCTGAAAAAATATTTAGCTTAGTAAAAACAACAGTCAAGTTTGAAAAAATCTATTCCTTTATATTGTCCAAATAAACTTCCCATACTCCGACAAAGCGACATTTTCTAAAATATTTCTAGCTATATTTTTTTTTACTAAAGCAAATGCCGAATGTGCTTGGAGTTCACTTTGGAATATCACAAGGTTCATTCAAGGAAGGACACCTCAAAAACTTCTTATAACCTAAGTACTCACTTTCTTCAAACCTCAGTTCCTCCCTTCTCATATGAACCACAATCATGTTACACAGGTTCTTATACTCTTCATAGCTGAGAACCATCTTCTTTTTAGCTGGCGCTGGTGCAGCAGGCGTTTGCGGCCTCTCTTCCTCTAAAACTTCATCTTCATGTACTGAATGGTTGTCGTCCGCGTCCAAGTGGATATCTGGCTGCTCTACCCGAATTATAGACTTGTTTAATAGTCTAAAAGAATCAAATAAATGTTTTTCTATAGCGTACAGTATTTAAAAAAAAAAACAGTTTTTTACCTATAAGCTTCTTTGACATGTTTCGGTTGCACTTCATCGCTAATATCCATCCGGGCCATCGCTTCCGACAGCCGAATCATACTCTCCAGTTGCCTTACAGTTATACGCCACGTAGATTTCCCAGCAGCTGTACTATCTCGCAGTCTCAACCGACTGTAGTAACTTCAAGGAATGGTTTAAGTTAAGGGGCAAAGTATGCTTAACGAATGGATCAATTACCTGACTAACAAGCTTCTCGCTTCTTTGTTGATTACTGGCTTAAATTTCCGTGCAAAATTAATATATTGTAACACCTCCTGCTTGGAGTAAACCTAAGAAAACCATTTTCAGATTATTAAGCCTTACTTAATTACTATAATTAATTTTTATGGAAAAAAGAATATGAGAACTGTTATGGTTTAAATATTAGAATAACTACAGATTGATTTATATAACAGATAATTATTTTATTACATGGTAATTTAAGTTACCATAAGTCTGTTAATATTTATGATATATTTGTAAAATGGTGTAAGGTTGAAAGAATAAATAAATAAATAAATAAAATGTATAGCTCAAAAATTCAATTGAAATATCTAGCTTGTAATTATTTTAAGTCAACAGTACAATACCTGAGCAATGTTCTCTTCAATATTGCTATGCAAATCCACTATCTTCCTTGCAATAGCATAGTCTATGACCTCATTACACTCATCCACAAGTATGAAGAACAAGTCAAACCTGGACATAATAGGTGCCGACAATTGAATATTTTGCTGCAATGATCTGGCTCGATCGTAGCGTCCCCCAATCGGATTAGCAGCCGCCAAAATTGAAGTTCTAGCATTTAATGTGGCCCTGACACCGGCCTTTGCTATAGATATTGTCTGCTGCTCCATGGCCTCATGAATAGCGACCTGGTCTTTAAGCTCCATTTTGTCAAACTCGTCGATACAACAGACTCCATTATCTGCCAACATCAAAGCACCTGCTTCAATCACGAAGTCTGAGGATTCTTCGTCTCTGACTACCGCCGCTGTAAGCCCAGCTGCAGATGAAGCTTTGCCCGAAGTGTAGATAGCTCTAGGTGAGAACTCGGATACTTGCTTCAAGAATTGACTTTTCGCTGTGCTAGGGTCGCCGACTATGCAGCAATTGATGTCGCCTCTCAAAGTTGTACCCTCAATTGTAGTTTTTGACACCCCGCCAAATAACATAAGTAGAATGCCCTTCTTCACTTCTTCATTTCCGTGAATGCTTGGAAACAGACTGTTAATCATGTTCTGGTAGAGGTTTCTGTCATGAGACATTTCATACATGTGCTTCCATTCGCTTTCCGTCATCTGCTGACGCATTATTTCTGGTGTAATGTCCCCTAAATTTTTTTTCATTAAAATCAATGAAATTTACAATACACCACTTTGATTCTAACCTAAAGGCAATTCGATTCCTCCGAATTTGGGATTAGTAGGCTGTACACTGCATGCTAGAAACGCTATGCGATAGTGCAATTCACGTACACCCAACACTTTGAGACCTCGGATTCCTTCCGCTTCATCCCCATGCTTATGCCTAGATTCAATTTGGGTTCTGGCACCAGGGATGGACATTGCGCCCACGTCCGGGACAACGATCAGTGTACCAGTGAAGTCATATCTATCACCAGCCTAAAATTAATATTTTATGCAACAAGTTTGGTAAATGGCATTTGAGCCACGAGTATTGTTTTGGTACAGGAGCGCAGCAAGCACTTAATAAAAAAAAAAATGCAACAGTTTTAAATTTAAAAAACTAACCTGTACAGTTTCGACATTTTCAGCTCTCAAAATAACTTCTAAACTCCTTGGAATGCAACCTCGAGGCAACTCAGCCTGCGTCTCTTGAATCCTTACTTTTTGAAAGTCCACAAAAACAGATTTATCATCGTTGAGCATAAACCGTCTTCTGTTGCTGCAAACTGGATTCCTACATATTGTAGGGTTTGTGTACTGCAAATCATTAATAATAAATACTTTACATGCAAAAATTATTCGTGTAGTGCAACCTTAAATTGTTGTTCCACATTTTTGATAACAGTTTGGCATTCTAAACACACAAAAGTGCCCAAAACCAGCTCGGGGTGAACAGGATGAGTCCTGATAACTTGACCCGAGATACGAATCAGTGTACCGACTTTATCAGTCTTTAATTCCCTAACAACATGCCTTGTAGGAACATCCATAAATGCTATGTAACATTCCTTCGGCTTTTTCATATCAGTGCGGTCTTTTACGAAATTAGAAACAGCTTGGCAAAGAAACGGATATATTCTGAAATACTCTTCGATGATAGTTGTAGCCAAGTTTTGGTTATACTTTTCAACGTCTTCAAAACTTATCTCGATTGTGCTTCTTTCTTCATTTTGTAACTCTTTCGCCGGTTCCAAATATTTTAATTCGCCATCCTCTTTATATCTGGAGAAAAATGTAAGTCGGGAGTTATGAAATTGTTACGAACTTACTCTTCTAAGAAATCTTGAAAAAGCTTCTGGCATCTTACTCCGATTTCATCTCGATGTTGCCTTTGACCAACGTTGGCATCAGCTACATCCATTTTCGATAATTATCCAGACAATTAAGCAAAGTTAATAAGTTAACATTCAAACTTAAAGCATACCACATTCACTATTAAACAAAATTTGGCGCGAAATCTTCTCAAAAGTGAGGTTACTATTTCACATATGCACTTATTCTTCAACAAACTTCATATTCATGTCCATAATATTTATTTTAAAATTTTACTTATGTTTTACCGCCTAACCGGAAACGAAAGTTATCACATATTAAAAGATCTTTTTTATGTTTTTAATGAGAGGCAACAAAAATTAAAAAAAAAAAACTGTATGGCAATGAGAAGTCAAGTGGAAAGAAGAAGTGGAAAGTTCTTGTTAATTTGACTGCAAATGACAACTGTATCCACGTGCAAAAGTGAGGTTTTGTTATAACAATTTTGTATATGCAAAAAATCCTTAAACGCTAATAATGGGCAAAAATCACCGCCATAAAAAGGATCTAAAAGCCGAAAAAGCGAAAGTGAAGCTTAAACAGACCAAAACCAAGTTTCTTCCCAAGGGACAAAATGTAACGAATGTCGCATTCAAAATTAAACCTATTATTCTTCTGGAACAACTAAAAGTTAAAGATTCTGATGACATTCTAAGTAAAAGAAAACTAAACATAAAAGACCTGCTCAGTAGACTGAAACATTATAACGATAATATAAAGCATTCCGCTTGTGAAGAATTGAATGACATGGTACAGATTTATCATGAAGAAATTGTTCAGCATCAGTTCTCAGAAATATGTCTGACATTGGGAAGTCTTATGCAAGATAGGGAGCATAAAGTGAGAAAATCTGCGGCCAAAGTAATTGATACTGTTCTACAATATGTAAGTTTATTAAATATCCACCTTACAGTGCAATTTCTGCTTTCATAAGCACATGCCATATACAGGATGATTTAAATGACCAATCTGCCATTTAACGTGATTCACCTTGTATAGGGTTGTTCGCGCTATAAGTCACAGAGTATGGTAAAAAAAATAGATTTTATTAAAGTTTTATTTAAGAGATATAGGGAGGTCTACTATGGTTACTTTTTATAAATCACTTTTATATCATAGAAGTGGTTCGAAAAGCGCTAACAGTATCAAATTTGTATTTTGTTAATGGAACCCCATGTATATTATACCATTTTTGGATTTTTCCATTATAGTGAGTGTGTTTCTATGAGGATGATTTCTAAACCTTATACGGATTCTTAAATAAATTGTTTTAATTTTTCCCATAATTTACAGTAAAGTGTACCAACAAACCATATTTTAGCTTCTAATTATAAGAAACTTCCCCATCATAGACATAGTCACCAAATTTGATTGTAATCTCATAAGCCGAATTTAGCTATAGTGAGATTACTTTTTGTAATGTGAATATTTAATCCGAAGAATAGCTTATGAATCAAAATACATGTTTACCCTGCATAATAAATTACTTTTTAATTTTTTTTAAACTTTGTCATAACCTTGGTAATTGTCTTAATTTTGTCATTGTTTAATAATATAATTGAATTAAACGAAATGTATAGATTCACATCCATTGAACCGACTTAACAGCAAAACCTAACCCAAAAACCATAATTTCCCATTTTCTGGGAGAACGCCAGAAGTGAGCTAGAGGACATTCTAATATCTTTCAAGATTCAACTAAAAGAGTTAAATTAAATGAAAATATGGCTACCCACTGATTCAAGTTCTCACCATTTAAATTTCTCATTAGAATAGAATATATTTTTGGAAACTCTGTGTAAGTTTTGAAGTTTTTTTTTTATAAATTGGATCTGGAATATGTTTTTTTGCTATACTTTATTGCAAATTTCGCTTAGATAACTTTAATTGTTCTTAAGTATTCAAGTATTCAAAGTTACATTTTGACAAAATTGAAGTTATTATACGAAATAAATACTTTCTATTCGAAAAAGTGAAATTTATGTTTTATGTATTTTTGAAAAGCTAACAAAAACCATAATAAAATTATTAAAAGCACATTTTATCAAATAACAAAATTTCTGAGTTTCAGAAGAAAATTGGAGCCTACATAAAAACCCATATCCAGACCAGTTTTCACATTTTCGATAAGTTAACGCATAAGGGTGCAGAATTTCCAAAATTTCCCTGAATCTAAATATCCAAAGTAGCTAAGCAAAAATAGGACACGCTGTACAAGGTAGGCCAAATTGGACTTTTCTATAGAAGGTAGACGAAAAATAATATCGGTGTCTTTTTAATTGGTAAAAACCTCACGTGCGTACTGGTACCACTTCTGATGTTTTTGGAAAATTTAAATTTATAAAAAATCGCTGTAACCATTTTGTTATGGAAAATTTTGTGTATCTTTGCACTTTTTATGTTGAATTTAATAGTTTCAGTATACTATTTCAAAAAATCCAATAGTTAATTAGTTATCATCCGAAAAATTAATTGAAAAGTACTTGAAATTGCCTCTACAAAAATAAGCAGCCTTGATATTTTGCTAGTGAGTTTTGAAAAATTAGACTTTGGACTGAGCGGCCATAATACCGGAAGTAACTTTGCACTGGTAGACATTTTCGGAAGATTGTGACACAATATCATTGAATTACAAGAAATAGTTTTAGGAGCCGTTGAAAAAAATTTTACGTCACCATAAAAGTTAAAGACTAACAAGACTAGAAAGAACTAATGTTAGATATGCAAAAAGTGCAATGGTGCATGTGGTTACTTGAGAAAGAGAACACACGACGCACAGAACCAGAAAAGTGCGATGGAATAGTGCAAGTAGTTTCTAGAAAAATTCTAATCTAGTATGCCTTTCTCGAATTTGGCCACGCATTTGTTTTCTGTATTACGATGACGCAATAATAATTTTATCGAATTTAGAATTTCAAACTACAGACTATTGCAAATTGAAAAGTAATTTGGTAATTCAACGTACAAAAAGTCATAAAAAGGGAACTCATTAAATATTAGAACCTAAACACGATTACACTGATAATCACAAAACAATAACATTATTTCAATAAATTATTTGTTTAAACTTTTTTCTAATTTTAACTATTTAGTATTTTGCAAGTTTTTTAAAAAAGTGAAATTTTTGTTTACCTTGTATACTTAGAAGTAAAGCTTAGTTTACTCTATTTACAAAACTTCTGTATTCCTCATACATCAATTGTTGTTGAATCGAACTTACAACAGCCTGTGGAAGTTTCGTTGAAAAATTTTGGCACAACATATTCTACAGAACGTTGTGAACTATTTTTCATACAAAGCTACATGCAAAGTTAATATTCCTTCTTGTGTCATAATTTACCAAGGAAAGCTAAATCAATCTTAGTGTGCCTATTTACGGAAAATCGGTATTTATTGATTTTGTTTTCGGATTTCTTCTACATTTTGCAATGGTTTTTAATAGATTGCAATGGGTAAGTATATATTTTTTTAATTTTAATTTCATTTTGAGAAAATATATTTATTTGAAATTCATTTTTTTTTCATTAATGACACAATCTCAAGGTGTTGAATTCTGTTTGTCAAATAACTTTTCAGAAGTTCTACAACTTTTCCTTTCAGACTATACTTTTCCAGTTTTGATAAGAGAATTTGGTGTGAAATGGTGTGAAACGCTTTAGAGCGGTCAACAAAAATGCAAAAGCCGCGTTGACTGTTATAAGAACATCTAAAGCTGCATTGAGCGTCTGATAAGACATTAAATTATTTAAAGAAACTCATTATTATATTTTTTAATATGTAGTCAAACAGAACAAACAAAACTCTCGCAAAATATAAAGGCTGTGCTATATTTTTAGAAGAAAATTTTAAATTATTTTCAATAATCAAAAATATACAGGGTGTTCTATATAAATAATCGTTTTTTCGGTTGACTGCTACGGTTTTTACCTTTACTTTATTTATAAAAGTCGAATTCCATGCACCTACATTAGTTTTCGTCTATCTCCTTTCGCAAGGCGAGTTCCCCTTTTAAATTTGGCCCACCCTGTACACGTCTTACATAAACCAATGCGAAAATTGCTCTTTTTTATCATAATAGCTGCCAGATTTATGCGTTCACTATAGACTGTGAATCGCCGTGTATATTTTGGTTTCATGTAGATCCCTAGCGAGAAAGTGAAACCTTTCCTCCACTTTTTCTCTACAAATCTACGCTGAAATCTACGCTGTGCGATGACAAATATAAACCGAAACATTCAAGAAGATTCGCTGCTGTTCCTGGACTGCTTTATCAGGGTCGATTGCGGTTTGATACGTGACAATTCCGAGAGACTTCTTCCCGAATTTTTTACTCTAATCTCCAAATTACGCGGCGATTCTCAATTAGAAAGGACGTTGACTTTGAATTTAGGCAGCAATATGACCAGTGTGGCATGGAGGATTAAAGTTTTAAGCCGACTGCATGCGGTTTTGAGCGTTCTTTTAGCAGAAGAAGGTAGTAAAACGACCGAAACGTGAGTGATTTGGTCGAGGGGTAAATCACCATCCAAAATTAGTGCCACGTCCATAACATTTCACGCAAAATATTACGGATTTCAGATTTCAACGGGTTTGACTAAGATTCGGCGGATTTCCCGATAATTTGACCAGTTTCATTGATTTTAAGAAAATATTTTTTAGGCTATATAGCTAAAATACGTAAAATTTAAAAAAGTCTATGTAAAAATAAAACAGACTATTTTATAATCTCTTTTCAGCAAGTAGAAAATAGTTTTATCAGTGTTCATTTTGATTAGTTTTGTTTCAATAATTTTGTTATTACTCTTCACCTAATTCACTTAAAAAATTTCAAAATTCTAAAAAAAACTTTCGGATGTGGCTCCTTATATACAAAATTTATCGCACAGTTTTCTACTCATTTGCTTGCTTGCTCAAAACAGTGTTCATAATGTTCATGTTGATATAAAAGCCTAAGCGTTGAAAAAAAGTTCGATTAGTTTGGTTAGTTTTCTCTTTTCCGGGAGCAAGTTTAATAACTTTTGTCACAATTTTGGAATTCATCAAGATTAAAGATTGTCTTCCACAACCTCTAACGAAATCTTATCTGAGGCAATTTATTTTTTAAGATATAAAAAGTGAATTTTTCGTCGAATTAACTTTTTGGTGTTTTCCTCTTAGTGGTCTGGTTCTAGTTTTCGCGTACTTCAATCATTGGTGTGCGTGTCGCCATTTTATCACTACTGTGGACACTATAGCTTAATTGCAAATTCTGATGCGTTAAACTAAACGAATATACTTCTAAAGGGGTTCCCTTTAGTAGGTATGTTTTACTTACTGGTATTAACGTGTCATTCATTTCCCTTTACACATTTTTGAAAGAGTCGATAATTTCTCGAAGATTTCACAGATTTCACTGAGCTGGTGCACTAGATTTCGCGCGTGACTTACCCCTTGGATTTGATTTTCCTTATCTAAAATCGCAATGGTTGTAGGGAATCTCTCGAAGGGTTCGACGCCTCCAAACAAACTAGATTTCCCATATATAAAAGTCATTTCGATCAAGTTTTGAGTGACTCAAAAATAGATTTCACTTCAAATTCCAAAACTTCTTTCCATCACGGCGCGACAATATTAAACCGTCATGTCGGAACTTTGATACCACTTTTGTATGAGACGTGGTTGGAAGCGGTCCCAGATAAATTTGGCTACAATCCGGCGGGAGAAGGGACCGTTCTGAACAATGAAAGCGCCGCCCTATTATCATGCATAGTTAACACTTTACATTTGTTGTGGCGGTATATTCATCATGAAGACACGGTAACTTTCTTTTTTTGTGTTTGTTCGGTTGACCGACTGCTATGTTTGCAGGAAACAGCGTTTATGTCGATGGACTGCAAGAAATTTTTAAACCATCTTTTGGCGGGGTTTCCGTACACCCACCCGGGGGCCAGAACGAAGCAAAAGTCGAAAAATGCGACACTAAAAATTTTAGACTACAACACCGATCCAAAATGCGTCCGCGAAAATTTATTGATATGCTTTTTGTACTCGGCGCTTTTTATTAATTATTCCCAAAAAGATATAAGAAAGGACCTTTTATCGATCGTGACATATGTTACTAGTAAGTATTATGTTGCTACCTATTTTAATATTTTCCAATATAGTCCAAGTCACACTGAGAATATAGCGCACCGTTGCTCGCTTGTTGTCAGGCAACAATCAGGTCCAGTCTCAAACAAATTTCGCCACTCGGGTCTAAACAATTTGTCTCTTAAAACCTGCATCATTTGTATAACCCAAGAATTTCATTGACTTGCGTAGGATTTTTAAATTCGCCATTGTTCTGTTCCGCTTCTTTCTTGGTGTGTTTTTCCCTAACACAACTCAGTTTTGAAGCTCCACTCACATCTGCACTTAAACTCAACTTTTCATCATTCACCAACCAGCAAATAATATTAAAAATCACAATTTTCATACTAGCATGGAGCACTTGTCCTTGTTTGAATTTCTTGAATAATAAAAGTTAAAATTAAAAAAAAAATTGCTCATTTTAATCATTAATACCTCATTAAACTAATCCAATATCTTCTTTTTTCGAAGGTTGGCAACAACTGCGGCAAATCGCTCTGTGTTCTGCGCTACTACAGTAGTAGTTACGAATCCAGACCAGCCCAATCTCTCACATTTTTCTGGTTATATATATATATATATATATATATATATATATATATATATATATATATATATATATATATATATATATATATATATATATATATATATATATATATATATATATATATATATATATATATATATATATATATATATATATATGGCTCATTAAGCGGGTCAATCGGTATTGGTATTGGTATTGGTATCAAAGGGGGGCGTCCAAGTACTTGAGGGCGTCCAGAATGCCGCCCCTCCTATAGAAGGTCAGCAACTCCTTTAGCCCAGGGTCAATCGGTATTGTGAACATTTGTTTGCCCCGTTCTTCTTGGGTATCAAAATAGACTGAAGACAGTCATGTGGTAGGGTTCCCAAGGAATATATCTTATTTAGAAAAGCTGTTAACATTTCAAAGGGATTTTTCGTACTTTGATAGTTTTATTGCATGTCTTACCTCCTCTTAACTGCTATTGGTTGGTCTTCCTGGTCAACGCGTATTTGATCTGGTTCTGTCCAGATAACTAATCCAATATACCTGCCCTTGAACACTGACACTATTCAGTTTTTCTAACACCGATTTTATAAAGAAATTTGAAACATGTTATTCTTATCTTTGTTCGAGTAATTCGTTTGATATATTTGAAATGTATTGCCTATGTGACCCAACCTGTATTCTCAGTGTGATAGTGATATTTATTATCACTCTTATCCATTAAAAAAATTCTAAGAAAGAAATATGGCAATAATATACGGATTAACTAAAAAGTCATTGTATGAAAATCACAAGGGTATTGACTACAATTGCTATAGCTGGGGTGAATACACCATGTCGAGTCAAATTAAAGAATATTGGCTCTCGCGAACGAAAGCAATTACTTCGCTTAGAAAAGAAATCACTTTTCTAAGCGAAAGGACTATTCTAAACAACCGGAAACTGAACTTTCTGTAGATTGAAGAGGCCACTGTTTTCTTGGACTTCAGTGTTGTCATAAAACTTTTAACACTTGATCTAAAGAATCGAATAACTATATTTACAAACATAGGCAGCACTGAAAGCCTTTCTGACAACTTACTTTTCACTCTTAATGTTTTGAAAAAACCATTCAATGGGCACCAGACAAATACAGGCTTAGCACAACACTAATTTGACATAACGCTTCTTGTGGAATGCAGTGCAGCGAAGCGAGAGCTCTTAGATAAATAAACAGTTGCTCGCATTGGGCTGTCTTCAGGATTGTTTTGTTAATAATCCGAGTTTTAATCGCAACTATGGTGCTTCCGTGTCCTTGTTGCCTTTGCGTTCCCTTCCTTAGAAGTTCACTGTACTCCTGAGGAATTCATCAGGCTTAATGAAGTGAGTTGAGTTGAGTTGAGTACTTTCAATGATCTGCTCTGTGGTGGTGCGCAGCTGATTAGGAGAAGTTCAGTTCAGTTCAAGCAAATCAATCCCAGACATTAGCTCTTTACCCGTGTATTATCGACATTGTTTGATTTTGTTATCAGTTATTATTGTTATTTACATTATTTATTGAAAAGGGGCATTTGCAGAAGTACTCTTCCAAAAAAAAACCATCGGAGAGGATAGCGCGGACTGCATCATGCAAATTTTGGAGGAATGCCTATACAAAAATCATGCAAAATGGCGTCGCAGCGGAGTCGATTTGCGCATGATTGTCGATAACGCGGTCATGTTTTTCAACCACGGCAAAATCAGTGACGCTAAACGGCTTAAAGTGTTCGAAGTTCTTTCACAAGTCGTTGACAATCCTCAACTGAACAAGTACTAGGGCAACGCAATTGTGTTATGTTTTGTATATTTTTTAACATTTTTAGGACTGACAAGTATCAATATTGGCTAAGTAGTTTGCCAGAAATTTTGTGCAAGGCAGAAGTGAACGATAACATTATTTCAGCCCTACTGGATTTGTCAAAAAAGAATTCTCCAGTCTTTTACAATTCTTTCTTAAAGAAGCTCTCCCAAATTTTAGATAATTTGGACAAAATAAAGATAATACTGACCGATGAATCGTTAACGAATAACGAAGAGTCGTGCAAAAGAAAAATAGCTTATATTTTTTATTACGTTCCAGCGTATTCCAAATCAGATTTGGATTTAATTTCGAAGCATTTGCAGAACAATCCAGCGTCTGGTTTTAGAAAGTATATGGAGCAAATTTTCCTATTAAGGTAGATCCTGTTTCTGTGCTTTGAATAGTTTTCATTTATTCATTTTTGCAGGCTCGATCTCGGCAGGGAAAAAGAGTGGCCCAGCCAATTTTTGGAACTATAAATGTTTATCGAATGTTTTCTGCTAGTGACGATTTCGTTTTCAATAAAAACGTGTGCCATTGCAATTTGCAATTTGTTTTTGTTCTTTTTGTTGATTGCTGTCATTTTTAATAGTTTTACATTGTCATCACTTGCCTTTTGAGATTTATCAAAATGTATTTCAACAAAATTTCAAGACCACCGAAAATGGGTTGCCATTAAAGTTATTTGAAACTGAAATTTTAAATATTCAAAAAGGCAGCTGATTTCAATTCTTTTGTTAATCGCATATATTGCCAAAGGAGTAACTTGGTACATCACAAAGAATTTTGAAAAAAATTTAGGCGGGGAACTTCAGTCCGTTCATTATCAAAAATTATTTTCTGATGAAACTTGGCAACACCCTGTGTTCTGCAGCTACACCTTCCCCTGTCAACATCAAGGAAAGCGTCATGGGTCCAGATTTTAAATTTACATATTCCATGGTCTGAAACAACAAATTAAATTAAGTTTAAGTCATTGGTATAATAATTGTTATTCAAATAAAAAAAACTAACTAACCAAAACTGTAGACCAGAAAATCACTTGACATAATAGGGAACTTATACAAAATTTTAATTTGAAGAATAATGATTATAAAAGTAAGTTTATAATACTATTAAAAGAACCTCAGTTCACAAAAAAATTCTTAATTTGTGTTTAGTATTATAAAGAAAGTTTTTAAAATTACCGAAGCCGATTTTTTAAAAGGTCAATCTTATAATTAATTTACCTTTACTTGATATGTTTATGGTGACATCTTACATACACAACACCGAAAGATTTTCTTTTGTTGAGATTCGCGGCGTTAAAGCTAAAAAGTATGTTCGTAGAAAATTTAGGCACTGGTTTTAAACCAATATTATATTATAATCAGCTTAAAGTTTTCTAGTTTTTAAAATTCAAACGGTATATAAAATAAAATGTAAATTATTCAACAAAAAAAAAAACAAAAAGAAGTTTTTTTTAAACTAGTTGAAACCTAAATACTGATTTTAAAATATATTGGCATTGATAATTTAAAGTGTTTATTTTATATAGATCTGGAAGCCATTCATGGAGACTGCAATAGAATGGGTGTAAGTTCGAAAAGTTAATAATATATTATGCAACAAGTACGGTAAACGGCGAGTGATTTAAAAAGTTTACCGAACGTATTGCATATTATACTTTTTCTACGACGTTTAGATTTTGGGTACATTTTCGCTGAATAACACGATACATTCACTGACATGATCGTCAGAATTGACAAACGTCAAAATTCAAAGCGTGGGAAATATCTCCGAAAATATCCGATTGCACCCAAACCCGTGCGGTCAAATCCCGGAAATGTCCGAAGTGGCGCGGATTCGTGGGAAACGAAACTTACGTGGTAAAGTGACGCTTCCCGCACGCTAGATCGGTGTGTCATTAGGTATTTTACGGACGGGAGTAGGAAAAAATGTTTGCACGGTTAAAGTGACATCTGAACATAATGTTAACAAGAAACGGCTTTTATTTTCTAGTAGACCAATAAAAAGTTTATCTGGCGGGGTGTACTGAAACACGATGGCACGATTTGTAATATTGTTTTTGTGTTGCTTCCATTATTATCATGTAAAGCACACTAGGCACAAATTCAAAATGGCGTACATTAAATACAAACACACCTTTACACGAGCGAAAAATAACCTTAAATAATATAATTTTCGGCCTATAAATCGAGAACAATACTATAACATGTCGCCGTATGGATCGAAAAACATCGAGTTTTGATATTTGGTATGCGTTATTTCTATACTTAAAAAAAATGTATTAAAGAGATTAAAAAAAATATTCAAGTTCCCTATACGAGAAAGATCTAACCTGGATAGCTTGAACATTCAATTGAAAAAAAAAGTATTATGTTTAATCTTTGATAAATTATTGAAAAAAAAATTAGGCATTTTTTTCGAATTTGTAAATTGTGTGAAATAATTAAACAACAAAATTTAAATTAGTATTTCTCCATTGACTAATTCCAAGTTTTTAAGTTATATTGTAGATTAAAGCTGAAAATATTCGTTTTTTTTGATTATTAGAGCGTTCGCACAAATTTGGAAATATCCAATTTTCTTTTCAGTCTATTTTTGTCTTTAAAAAATGTATACAGTACCGGTTCGATTAAAGGTTCAAGCTATCCAATATTTTTTCTACTCCCGATCTAAAATACTCCTACGCATCAAGCGTGCTGACAGTCGTATTAGGACGTCAGTGGCGTTATTTAGGGAGTACCTGTAGGAAGCAAACATGGCAACTTGTCATGTTATTTTTCCGTCTTCTATCTGAGTTCCGGAGATTTCCAACATGTTCTCGAGCACCCTGTATTTAGAGTATTTATGCAATGATTTAAGGCAGGAATTGCATCAAGCGAGATCAAAAGAAAACGGGAATAATTTTCGTCTTGTTTAAAATGTACTGTTCAGCTATACCTAACTCACGTTTCAAGTAAAAAAATCAATATAATGTTTATGTTTATATAATTATCATTATATTTATTTGTGTCGAACTAAATTAACCAAAACAATTCCAGTTTAGGTATAAAAAATTAAAATAAAGGGAGCGTTTCTATAAACTATGCTTTGTGTAATTTGGCTATAATATTCTACAAAACTGTTTCTCATTTTTTTTCCATAAATTGCAAGTCGGTGGCTTAGACCGTTTCCAGGCAGTTTGTTTTATTATTCTTAAAAATTTAAAATTTTCGACAAACCACATTTTTCGAATCTGCTGTTCACTTAATGTTTTAATTTGTTTTCGAGTTCACTGTTTTAAGATTTTGATGGTCAAAAACGAAACTATTTCGACGTTTGAAATACTTTGGCGATATCGCTTACCTAATTTTCATTTTCACATCCATATGTATAGTGAAATTGCCGAACCCCCATATATTGTTATTTTTGCATAAGATAAATACTTTTTTCTTATCAATTTTTAGTTTAACCTGCATGATATCGAGAATATTGCTAAAAATCTATTTCTCAAAATGAATCATTTTTAACAACCAAAATTTTTGAAAACACGCACTACACCTACAATTTCCTTTGACTTTTTGTTGCATAATTTCCGCGAAAAGGTGTAGTGTCACAAGACAAAGGGACCACCCTGTACTACTTTTCCACCAACATTTATGTGACAGAATTGTTTGACAAACGTTAAAAGTTAGAACCGCTTATATATTGCAATGAAAATGACGAAAAAGAGTCGGGCTCCGTTCGGCGTCGCCACGAAACGATTCATCAAAGTTGGATTACACCCAGAATTGGATGCTACTGTTATGAAACGGGAAAACGTCAATGTCGGACCGACAACTTACTGTCCAAAACTACACGCTTGCAAATTTAAAACGGGACTCCGGTAGGTATTTAAACATTATGACGCATGATCTAGCCGAAGAGCGAAAACTGACCAATCAGAATCTTTTTTTTTTCTTTAATTCAACGAGTTCGCGTCTTTACTTAGACGGCTGCCCAGGTTTTTCCATATTTCAACGAGTAAATTATCCAACATCCAAGGCTCCCGGTGGGAATCGAACCCACAACCGACCAATCAGATTCCATGCAATTAATTACTGTGTATACATCCTGCACATCTGCCGAAATAGAATACATAGTTATAACACTTGAACTAGAATATCATGCTACTTAATCACAGATTTCTGTCAAATGTATCAAAACAATCAAAAACTTTAAGAAAGCCACCAAAAAATGTTGGTCGGGCTAGAAACATATTGATCGTTGATACTTCTTCAATGCAATTAACAACTTGTCAAGTCATGGGTGTTTTGTACGCTTTTGTTTTCAAATATTGCAATAATGTACACCAAAGGCGCTAATAAAAACAATAAACATCTAGGTATTTAGGTATAGGAACTTATCATACATCATTCAAAAGGCTTTATAATTGTTTTAATTAATTTCTTGAAAAGCGTTAAAGATAAGTATTGAGAATATTATACAGAAACCATAAGAATGCCATAAGAAACCAAATTTTTGGAAACTGAACCCTGTATTATTATTATGAGAACACGTATCAGTAACATCTAGTTGGTTCCAAAATGGTAATTTCTATTTTGGAGCTATCGGTTATTCAACATTTTCTCAATCTAAAATATTTTTAAGGTTGTATCACTTCAAGTGTATTCGATTTTTTATTTTATGAGTCCTGATAAAGTTTCATGCTAGGTTTCCTCTGGTGACACTATGTATAATTTTTTAGATGTCCTGATTATTTTGAAAAAATTTTCAAATGTTTAAAAATATAGATTACTGTCGCGGAGCTATGATATTATTTGTCAAATATTATTTTTATCTCAGTTCTTACATATTACATTAGTTGGTAGAACTGATTAACAACTTTAATTTCTTTTAGTTGGGACAGGGAACTAGAACTGGAAGAATTCTCGAGATGTTTGGGATATAGGAACTACGACGTGCTCTACGAGAGGAAATTCTTCTCAAGTCTAAGAGGTCCCGGTACCCAGGACATCGACGAAACCTTTTACTCGAAGCAAACCTGCTCCGTCAAAGACAATGTGGGATTCGGCACGGAAAAGAGATTTAGCAAAAGCCTGCAAAGCCTAGCGAATCCAGCTCCAGGTCCCCCAATAAAACTCTTTCTCGCATCCGATTCCAGATAGCGTAATTTTAGGCACATATACTCCCATTCAGTATCGTCGGCCGTCTTCAAATCTGCCCACGTTCGAACACGATGGGTTCGTAGACCGATTTAAAAGACAGATCAGGCCTTATCACTTGACACCCAATCGGTACCAGGTCAGGGATGAAAAGAGCACCGCAGATATATTTAGAAAGCTAGTTTCGCGTCGGTAAGCGTAGCCCAATGTTTTTACCGCCCAACTTAACAAGGTACCTCGGTTAAAGAGGCCCCTACGATTTGTTTACCGGCCCCAGAGATGGAACCACCATCAAGAACCACTTCGGCACAGCGCTCTTCAAAGTACCAGATTATTTTCACGTCCCGCCTAGCGACGTGAACGTATTGCTCCACCATTCTAGCAAAAAAAGGCATTTGCGTTTTCATCGAACCAAAACAACCGATAATGCCAAGTTTCAGGTACGGACGTTTTCTCGCGGCCGAACGCTTCCAAAAGAAACCGACCACGAGAGCCCTGTTGAACGATCTGAGCATGTGCTATCGCTCTCCGGATGAGCCAGGTCCGGCTCATTACGATTTGAGCACATTCAAAAGGTACAAAAAGTGGTTTAAGTTATCGGGATGATGGTTGGAGTATTTATAGCATTAGGAAAAAACCCGAATCGGTCTACCCGTTTGGAACGTCAAATCCCCACTCCAGGCCGCCGGTAGACTGGAGTATATCGCCTGGACCGGGAAGATACAACCCCAAGCGGGCCAGATGCATGAGATCTAGACGGCCGAGTTGGGTGTTTCTTTCCAAACAACCCCGGGAGTTGTTTAAAGTTGTCGATTACAGGGCATTTTGGGTGTAGTAAATAAATGTTGAGCGATCTTTTCGATTGTATTTCAAAGGTTGTTGTACACCAATATAGTCAGCGTATTACATTTCTGGAATGACGTCAAGCTGATTTAAAATAGCGTATTTCTTATATTTATATTTTATCAGCTAATCTAAAATAGTTATTTTACGTCCACGCTGTAATTTGTCCAAAATGGCTGAAACCTAACCAATTTTGGAGGTTCTCTAAAACGTCACCAGAGTTGGTCCAAATGAAATTTCATTACTTCATAAACTAAAATTTTCTTGGAAATAAGGTCCCTGGTCTTTACTAATATCAATTCTTTAATGTTTTCTTTATTCCTTGACGGTACCTATATTTATCAAAATTATTTTAATTCTCAATCACAGAAAAAAAAAACTACTTCCGTTCACTGTCTTCAGCATCAAAACTAAATTCTAAGATGTCTGCATCCTCATTGTTGTCGTCTTCTTCGTTACTAATGAAAAGTGGCGCAATGTCTGAAGCACTACATATCTATATTGTCTTCCAAACTTCTTGGATCACTAATTAAACTGAACTAAACTTCTTGAGACTAGCAATATATTTGTCGTATTGCCCCTTACACTTAGAACATACCATTTCAATAGCATTAAACTGACAGCTTTACGGAAGAAGTCTTAGTATTTTGTGGTCACATATTCGTCCACATAGAATTTCATTCATTGTTACCTTTTTTTTCTACAATCGTCCAGCTTCTGCTTTGTCCATGATTTCCTTGGAATATCCTTTAAAGATTTGGTACCAGCTGACTTTTAAATTAATTTTCAAATTATTGCCTGTTTATGTTTTTATGATAATCCCCGTATTTTAATTCACTTTTAAATATTAAATTAAATCTCTTAACAAATCCTTACTGGGAACAATATATCGATGGCGGCTGTTTCGAAAAAACCTTTACTAAGTTATAAGCAACCTCTAAATTGTGGAAGATATCAGGCCAGAAGTTTTAAACTGCAAATTTCTAAGTCAACAAAGAATTCTGTGAAACAAGTGTGGTATGACAAAACATGGTAAAATGCAACGGCATTTCAAAAACAAAATTTTGTTTTCAAGCCTTTGGAAACAAATGGGAAAAATTAAAATTACAAACGTAAAGAACAACTCTAGCAAATACTTAAAAAAAAATTAACAACAAAGTTTCTTTAGAGTCTTTTCTATTGTATTTTAAAATTAAAATTTACGGTTACAAAATAAAAAAAAAGAACGTAAAACATTGCATGTCGATAAAAATAAGTTGTTTTTTAAATTTAGTTAGAATGAATGGTAGGAGTAGTTCATTTCAATCACCTCCACTCTCTGTAAAGCAAAGTATACACGACTTTTGTTTTTAAAATGGTAATACTTCCAAAAACTTTATTGTTGTTTGTTTTGAAACACGATATATAAAATTGATGAAGGCATTGAAAAATCTACATGTTATTTCTGGAAATAAACTCTAAGGTAAAGCTAAATTAACTAAAACGCGCTCTTGTAACCAATGGTTTGAATGTTTCGAAAAATTACCTTTATTAAGTCAGTTACCACAAATTACACAATAAATTGATACCCTGCGCAATAAGCCCTCAACAGGCAAAAACTCATGCTTTTTAAATATTTCTTAGTTATGATTTCCATTATAAATCAAAATTAATATTTTACGTACATTTGCTACGATTTATGGTAATAAGCCAAAAGCAGTTTGCTGATTATTATACTCAATCTGTATCACGGGAACTAAGCATTTCTCATTCATATTTGCACGGATTATGTTTGCTACTGTGAACAGTATTGTTCATTAGTCCTAGACTCTACAATATTCTGATGCACCTTGTAGGTTGCGATCAAAATGAAAAATAACGAGGTAACATTTTACGCACCTTTTTAGCCTGATCCGGAGAAAACTTTATGGGTAAATCTAACACATGCTCGGGTTGGATCACCCATGTTTTGATAAACGGAATGCTGAACGGACCTAAAGGATTTAAAAGATCCAGAGTCGGCTCTATAGCTTCATCTAAAACGAGACGAGTTAAAGAAAAACCACCAATCATTTTTCCTTGGTACATTTGATATTCTGGATCTGAATTCGTTTGGTGATGGTCTGTCCCACCAAACATTTACCAAAGTCCACGCACCTTGACGCCAAATTGGTGATGAAATCTGGTCTTATTACTCTACATGTTGCTTGTAGCGACAAAGCTTCTTCCCTGCTTTCAGCAATTAGCAATTTAAACATGCGACATATATTTATACTGAAATTACCGTATTGTAGATTTGTCATAGGTTATATGACATCGGAAATGGGCCTTGATGTAGTAAGGCTCCATGCTCCTCCATGCGATCATCTCCGTCGGACGCAATTCCTCCACGCCTTCTGCTTCAAGCCTTACACTCGGTTTACTTTGCTTCCTCATATTCTCTTTGACTGGTCTCCTGTTTTTGATAGGGTCGATACTGCTATCCCCACTTTCATAATCCTCAACATATCGATGGAGGGAAAAATGTCTAGATCTGGCTAATCTACGCAGAATTTCTTCGGGCACCTCTGGCATCGCCACCAACGTGATTTTTACGCGCTAAAACCGTGGTATCCAAAAATGGCGTTCGGAAAATTGAAACTTACTTGGCCACATTCCAAATTACCACAGTTGGGCTCTACAATTATCTCTTTATTGTCCCCGGCGACTTTAAAATGCGCTCGATAATCAACCTGATACATTTTGTTAGGTAGGGCGCTCATGGTTACTTCCATAACAGAGTACGAACCACACGGCGTATCTGGAAACACAACAACTTGGTGGGAAAATTTCAGCAACGGTCTTGTTATCTCCATCTTGCACCATATCTCATTGCAGTAGTTAATTTTGCTCACGCCTGTATGGGCTGAACTCGTTTCAACGGTAGTCTTAGACTGTTTCCGATTCATTGTACTGTTAGTCTGAGAAAGTGCACCAGAATCTTTATTGAGCTCTGTCAAGCATGCTCGCATGTCTTCAGTCACTTCCGTTTCATGCCGAACCATTTCTTTTAGCAAAAATTCCATAGACTTTTTCAACCGCTTCGGATTTATTTCCTACAACAATAATTTCCAAAGTTTTTCCGAAGTCGTTCAGGCAACTAGGGCACCATCTTCAATCCGCCAAGGTTACTAAGGGTTTCCAAGGCAATTTTGAAGTGAACCACTTCGTTGTGCGGATAGTCTGGAAAATCTGAAAGCTCAGGCCTCACGTACATCTTCAGTCGGGTTTGTTGGTGGGGAAACAGCTTCAGGAATCCAAAATTAGGCCTTATGGTAACGTACTGCAAATCAAATCGAGGCACGTCCAACAAACTTGCATAACATTACCGTAGGTAGTTCTAGGAAACCACAAATTTGACTCGCTAGGGTGTTATTGGTCACGACGAGATTCACGGACACAGTTTCGTATACCGAGCATACACCCAAATCCAGCATGGGAGTGCTGTGAATATTTGAGGTATCGATGATGGTAGGTGCTGTAAGAGCCAGGTCGCGTGAATTTGTTAGTATAGCGAATGCTGTTACTTCCGCAGGAGGATAATCTTTGTAGATCTTTGAAGCTACCGTCAACCGAATAGGAAATTCCAATATGCTCGTTTCTGGATCGAAATAAACAGTCTTCTCCTTGACCACATAAATTCTGCAAAAGTTAATATTAAATTGGGTGATGAATGCGTCGTTTTAAAATATCTAGTTCATCCAAACATACTCCATTTTATTTCGATCCGACAATAAGAAAAAAATAAGATTAAGCTTCATCTCAATTTTAAAAACATTTCGGAAATTTAGGTCTCTTAAAAATAAAAAAGTTATCCAAATCAAGTCCAAAATAACCTTTCTATAATAAAAACTCATAGCCTATAAAAACTCTGTCTTCTTGTATGTGAAACTAGAAGATTTAGTCGATTTAGTCTCATTTGCAAGCTTGGAAGAATTTTTTTAATTACCCTATTGCTTAATACTCAATTTTAGTTTTTGTTTTGAGACCCCTGAAAACAATCCTCGATCCTGCTTAGCAGTCTGATGTGTCATTCATACGTTCCCTATATTAAACATTTGTAGATACATTTTACCTTGGCAACAATTTGATCCAGATAACTCGTGTCGCATGGGAATGTATATAGAAAACCGAAACATCTGACTGAACAATACCCTCTAGGTAGTAGGGAATTTTTAGGGAAACGGTCTGAGTGTGGCGCGATCCGTTGTATACTTGAAAACTTTGCTGATAGCAGGAGTTAAACCGACATATTTTGAAATCCAGCACTTCTGGGAGAACGCTTAACAAGTGCCCCGTCGTTTCCGCCTTCACATATATCTCCTGCAAATTGCAAACTACCATTTTCCGTAACGCACAGCCGGTCAGATTCGCCTTAAAATATTGAAAAATGCTAATTTAATTGGAAGTACTATATTATTCAACAAGTGCGGTAAACGGCATTGAACTTTGACTTAAAAAGTTTACCGAACGTGTTCATACTATACTTTTACTACCGTTAGTTTTTGGGTAAAGTCTGTTCATAGATATGAGAAAGTGACTAACTGATACGATTTAAGGAAAGACCCGGGCAAGGTGTAATGAAATCTTTCGGAACAGGTCCGTACTTTGCTCAGAATTTAATTATTTGGGGTTTTGTTACGAAAGATACTAAACAATATTTATTTATTTATGTATGTATTTATGTTTAAATCTAAAATAAAATTACAAATTATTTTTATTATCTACTTAAATTACTTAAAATTATTCACATAATATATCAGTATCACCTTAGCTATCATGGCCTGTTCTAATTATTATTTGTTCTATATTATTTGCAAAATGGATATACGATTGTTCTGCTTTTTCTATATATTTAACAGAAATTGTCCAACTTTGTGGCGGGATGTTAAAAACTACGGTTTCTATAAGTTTGAGGACATTGGAGTTAACACGGGGAAAACATTGTTACGAATGGCAGATTTCAGTTGGTGCCAAACATTTTCA